GGGGAAACTGGAAGATTGGCCTGACCCCAGTCACACAGTGTTTAGTTTTTATAATTGGTTTGAGTATTAACCAGTTATACTTTCTGTGCCCTAGAAGCCTCAGATGTCTCCATACAAAGTATATGTGTGACATAAGAAATTAGCCTTCGGAACGTACTGAGCATGTCTGAGGTCTATAGACAGACTGGACATTTTCCCCAAACAGCCCAAGAACCAGACATGCCAAGTCATTCATAACAGCTTCTCCAGACAACATTCAATAAAGGGGAGGCTGGGCTGCAGACCTGTAGTAATTAAAGAGACAATTAAAGAGAAAGAATTCCAAACACAGTTATTGCTTAAAACAGAGATTTGTTTGTTTGTATTTTTATTGTTGCACTTATACCCTGTTTCACAATGTCCCAAATCTCTCTGGGATAAGACTACATTTTGAATTTGTGTATAACTTGTCCAATTCCAATAGATAAAACCACCAAGCTGATGTTTTACTGTTAAAATAATAAATTTAAACCTATTTGGTTTAGAAAAACGTCACCTCAGAGGGAATATGATAACATTATACAAATATATCCGGGGCCAATACAAACCATTGTGTGGAAATCTATTCACAAACCGGACTTTACATAGGACACGAGGTCATGCGTTTAGACTGGAAGAAAGAAGATTTCGTCTAAGGCGAAGGAAAGTTTTTTTTACTGTAAGAACAATAAGGATGGTGAATTCTCAGCCTGAAGAAGTGGTTTTACAGATGTCCATACAGATGTTCAAACAGCTAATAGATGCATACTTGCAAAAACAGAATATTCAAGGATATAATGTTTCAATGTAGGGTAATAACTGCTTGATCCAAGGATAAATCTGACTGCCATTCTGGGGTCAAGAAGGAATTTTTTCCCTAGCTTGTTGCAAAATTGTGCTTCAAACTGGGTTTTTTTGCCTTCTTTTGGATCAACAGCAAAAAACAAATGTGAGGAAGGCTGAACTTGATGGACGCAAGTCTCTTTTCAGCTATGTAACTATCTAATTATGTAACCCAATGCCTGGATCTTTCTCTCTCACATGATGCATCTGTTTAAATAAGATCAGACGTGAAAGGACTAAGAAGGATTTATATAGCTGTTAGCAAGCAATATTTTAGTTGGCATTGCATCTTCCAAATATTACATAAAGAATGCCCTGGTGATCTAAGTGCCAGTGAATAGACTACAGTTTACCTACAGTAACAATAAAATGGAATTGCAACAGCTGCACTAACACATGCTACCATATAGTGTTTGTTTAAACATTGGATAATGAGAGATATAGTCAAACAGCTGGTGAGGTATTTGGACACCCGTGTGCAAGGAAATATATTCCCCTACCCTCATAAGATTTCTGGACTCCCATTTTCCTTCTGCTTAAAGGACAACTGTCTCTTTAAAAATATTATTTAATATATTAATCCTTGTGAAGAAAACAGACTTGATTTTGGGATTTTCTTATGTCTTTCATTTATTCTGAGTTTTATTGGTTCAGTAGTTTAAACTACCGAACACCGACCTCCCTCCTGGCTCATTAACTTCAAAGGGAACCGTCAATTGAGCACTCTCCCTGGGCGGCCGCCATTAGCATAGTCGAACAACATGTGGAAGAGAAAACGGCGGCCATCTTGTTTGGTCATCGAGTGTCTGGAACTAAAATCGGACACTTGACTTCCCGAACACCGCTAAAAACTTACGAATGCCTGCTTTCTTTTGTTGCCGAACAGCCAGGAGAGCGCCGTTCGGTAGTTTGGTTCCCACAAACAAGGGGAACAATCGCTCCTATGAGTCAGGAGGCTCCGTTCGTGCTTTAATTCACTTTTATGTCTTTTTCGAAATTGACCGACCGCACACACTGAATTCATGGAACTGTTTTGGGCAGGAGCCTCGTGTGCGGTCGGTGAAGTAAGACTTCCACACTTTTCGAAAACCCCTGAACTGATCTGAGTGAAATTTGAATATGTTGGTCTCCCAGATCGGGGCTATCAGGGGATATGCCATTTGTGAGGATACCGTGTGTTTAAAGGGGTGTTCCAAGTTTTGGGTAAATTGTGTGCTCTTTGCCTGGAGATAATTGGGTTATCCCTTAGCTTACCTAATTATCTCCCAGTCACAGAGAGGGAGGGTTTTACTGTAAATAAGCATTATGATTGGTTGTCACTTTTACTGTTTACTGTGGGAGGTCCTCTTGCAGGAGGATTTCCATAAAAGCCAGTGTGGCATCAATAAAACATTATTCCTGTTGTACCCTTCATGAAGTCTAGGCTCATGCTTGGGTAACTTTTTCTTTGCTGGGGAGATTCTTCATGGAAACTGCATTCACCCGACTATTCAGCTACACACCCTAGCTGTAGCTGTAATCACTGATGCTCAGCAATTGGGGAACGAATAGGCGAACAAAGTACCATAACTACTGATGTTCGCAACAATCCTTTCATCAAGTATTGAAAGGAAAGAGTTTGTAAAAAAAAAAAATTTTTAAAATCATCCCTACCTTTATTATATGACCGGATCCTTCAGTCATATACATACACCTCGGGTCCAACAGTGTTGGAAAGCTGACTGTTAGTCTCTATGGTTTTCACTGCTTCACTCCCTGCACAGAAACAGGGAACACCATAGAGACTAACTCTTGGTTTTCAGACACTATCCTACCCAAGGTGTGTGTATATGGCTGAAGGATCCGGTCATATACTTGAGGTAGGAGTGAGTTTTTCTCATTTTTTTTTCATGTAGTTAGTTATAAAACTTGATGAAAGAATTATTATATTACAAAAATATATTTAAGGTGGCAGTTGTCCTTTTAGACCACATGTTGGTTCTCATCATCTTCACAACCCAGTTTTCAAATGCTTTTCTGATTTGCCAATAAAAAAAACCACTGTTTTGATAACTGCAAACCTTTGTGCAACATCAATTCTATTCCTTTTTCCTCCTTTACCATCTGGAACTCAGTAGGTTTGTGAAAGAAATAGATTTGCAATGATTTCAAAAGAGCAATCTTGTCTCTGCTGAGCTAATAGCAGCCTTTAGATGACAGATCTATGAGAACTACATTTGCAGTTCAAACAAAACTTGTGAAAGTATTATGGTAGAAGGATAGCCGCGTACAGGGCTGGTACAAGGATTTCTGGTGCTCAAAACAAGGATCTAATTCACAATGTGTCTGGATTTAATACCACTAGATTATCTTTCTATATTATCATTGTATTTACCCATCATGTCTCTGATCTCTTTATTGCCCTCTCTCCATCCGCTCCTTACTTTCACCCTCGGTCTTTTCCCCCCGTCTCTCACAGTTAATGGTGATAGTCTCTCCCCATTTCTACTCATTTACTTCCATTTAATTCCAAGCTTCCAGAAACCTTCTCCAACTCGAGCATCACTACTAATCCAGTTACAAAGCACTCAATCTCATATTCTTTCTCCCACCTTCTCTCCAATTCATTTTCTCATTTTAAATACACCTTTAATCTCTCTCTTTTATTGGTCTTTTCAAGTGATTCCTTTACTTTTGCCTACGAGTCGCCACATAGTACGACATACATTGTGAACAGTCGTGGAAAGCCAAACCTGGAAAGTTTAACAAATTTAAGAAAAAAAAAATAAAAAGATATTTGTGACATTAAATAAATATAGATATTAAGGGGCACCCAAGATATATAAATATTACAAATACAGTCATACAACTAACCCCCGAGTTCTTTTATAGAACAATACTTACAGGAACACTGTCATTAATTATTTTTAATATGTTATTATAATCTTTATGTAAAAACATCTCACTTGTTTTATTGAATGTATATTGAACTTATTTAATAAGAAATCACTAGCCTATGTTTCCTGCTCCCCCTTACTAATATGTACCTTGCGTCAGACTGTCAGTTATCTTTCCCAACGCTCACTCTTTTGCAATAGTCCATTACTTTTCAAAATCGATGGACAGAAAATGCTTCAGGCATGAAGAAATTACATTTTTTTATGAGTGTGTTCCTTTAAATGATCTTATATTGAACGTTATAAATGATAAATACATTTTAATATAGTATAGTATAGTATAGTATAGTATATAGCTCACATTGCTAATCTGTTTCTTCGCCCAAAAATCACAACTTTTCTGTGGGGGTCAGTATAATCTCAAACAGTATAATGTCCGCTCAGAATTCCATCCAAAATGTGCTGGCATTTAAATGAATTCATTGTTTTTCCTTTCAGTACAGCCATGAGTGGATTCTGGTCTTCACTTAGCCCATGTTTTCCATTAGGAAGCTAAATATTCTGCTTGCATTGATTGCTATGTTATAGATGATATTTATATTGTAAAACCATTTCTGTTTTTAGATTATATATACAGTATCTCACAAAAGTGAGTGCACCGCTCACATATTTGTAAATATTTTATTATATCTTTTCATGTGACAACACTGAAGAAATGACACTCTGCTACAATGTAAAGTAGTAAGTGTACAGCTTATATAACAGTGTGAATTTGCTGTCCCCTTAAAATAACTCAACACACAGTCATTAATGTCTAAACTGTTGGCAACAAAAGTGAGTACACCCCTAAGTGGAAATGTCCAAGGATGGTAACATTTTGTTTTAAAGGGACACTATAGTAACCTAAAGAACATTATTTTAATTAAGCAGGTTTTGTGTATAGATCATGTCTCTGCAGTCTTATTGCTCAATTATCTGCAATTTAGGAGTTAGATCACTGTTTATACAGCTATAGTCACACCTCCCAGCATGTAACTTGCACAGCCTTCCTAAGCACTTCCTGTGAACAGTCATCTAATGTTTACACACTTCTACACAGGCTATTGATGCTAGACTTTTTTATCTCCTGCACTGTTAATTGCCTTCTAAAGCTTGCAGGAGGCTCCTGTGTGATTATAGTTCAATTTCCAGAGCAGGAGATAAAAACTTCTAAAGCAACTTAACATCTGATTGAAAATTAAACCATTTTTTCTGTTCATTCAGCCTGTGTCAGTCAAAGACAGGGGAGGTGATTAAACTCCTAAATGGCAGATAATTGAGCAGGGAGACTACAGGGGCATGGCCTATACATTAAAATGACTTCATGAAGCTAAAGTTGTTTTGGCGACTATAGTGTCCCTTTAAATTCTATTAAACATTCCTAATGCTACTGATTGTTAGCTTGTTTTTCATTCTCTCTTTTTCTTCACACCAACTGGTAGCGCAGCCTTTTATTATTTATTAGGTAAATAAAGTCACCGAATTCAATTCCATTAAATAAGATTTTATTTTGTAAAGTGTCGTACAAAATGGACGTGTGATCATGGACATGTGAGGCGAAAACTATTCTTAAAAGGGTCGTATAAAATAAATTGCACGCTGAGGTCAGATGTGAGTTCCGCACGTCATTGCTGCAAGAAGCCTGGAATTTTTTTGAGAGAAACTCAGATATCAATTTGAAGGAATTTATTTTACCCTGTACTAGACTGATCTGCCTCTTTTACAAAAACAGGTTTTTGAGATCTGTTATCGATAATGTTTATTCAAATATACATTTTATTGAGCAGTGAAATGGGGAATAAGTCCTGTTAGATAAAACCTCCAATACTATGGTATACTAAAGAGAGAACTTGTCCCTTTAAAAATTGCATTCGTTTTTTTTCGTGCCAATCACATTAAAAACACAATTTATCCATGCATTTATAATTTGGAATTCAGGAACAATTGATTGATTCCTCAAATTTTTTACTCACTCACTTTCATTTTTTATGCTCTTGTAATAGGTAAACAGTGCTAAAAAATAATAATAATAATTTAGCATTATTTAATGTTTTATTGCTGTGGAACAACATGGTAAACTCATATACATCACACATTACTGTGGGTTTATTGCTCTATGTGGATCTCTAAGATGATTGCATGTACACAAAATCTTTTTCTAAGTTTAAAGCAGGAATATGGGGCCATAGGGAATAAGGTGCAAAGGTAATTACTTAGGTACTACGCAAGGTTTCGTGGTAATTAGCAAGGCTGGAAAATGTACTATAAGATCAGTTTTTAATATTATTTATTACCAATTGCCTTATGAATGCGTCAAAGAGTAGCTAGCCATCAAATTATTTTCAACAAGTTCAGACAAGTTAAGAAATTAGAGCTTTCTTCACAATAAATAGAAAAAAAAGTATAACATTACTTGATCAGACTGATTTCAGTATCAGGGCTCAAAATATTGACATTTAATTAAAATGCATTTCAGTAGTTAGTGCATACCTTACAGCAATGGGAAGTATTTATTTGTGACTGAGGTGTGGCAGGCCAGCCAATGGTTATGCCATGGGTGTGGAGCCACTGAGAAAAACGATGCATCCCATCCCATAAGTGAGCATTTTATAACGATTGTCAGCAGTGACGGCCAGTCCCATTAAGGAAAGCACATGTGTAAAGTGCTACCGAAGCATTCCCTCGTGGCCTTAATGTCCCGAGTGTAGTTTGCCCAGGTCAATGGGGCACTTATGCTGCAATTTTTTAAAACATTTTCTCTGGTATTCCCATAGTGAAACACTATAAGGACAGCAGAACAAAGTGGGACTGTTCCACGAAATACCAAATGTGGGATAGTGAGAGTGCAGAGTAGATGCATACAAGAACAAAGGTGGTGTCAAAACAAAGTGAAACATATAGTATGATCTGATATATCTACTTGTATAAATATATCTCTGCAATGGCAGTATACCAGGTTGAGAAATCAATGTTGCTATTAGGGATACTCATTGTAGTGGCTCTCCAGCACCCCAAGGCAGTTTGCAGGCATTGAGGCAGGATAGTTGTATGCCAATCATTGCATCCAGAAATGCCCGGATTTAGATGTGTAACGCAGAAATGTAACATATTTTAGCCGTTATTATACCAGTAAAGTACAGAAGGGCATGGGTTGGGTGCCATGGAAATGCCCAATTTATGTCACTGCATTCATAAATAATTTCCCAGATAATATTGTGGGGAGGGGTGGTGGTACCCAAAAACCCATTGCTCCATAATAACTACAATGATAAGCTATGCATTAATTGTGTTGCTTTGAGTATGACTGTAATAGCTGAGTATGACTACAATATCTGTATAATCTAAAAATAAATTATCTCTAGCTGCACTAAATGCAGTTCCATCGGCCAAATGGTGGCACCATTGCTGCAGGAACAAACAATACGTCCATTTGCATGCAGCAGTACTCTACACTTTTCACATGTGCAGTAGACACTAAGACATCAACATGAAGTACACCACATATTCAAATAAACCTACTGAATAAACATTGCAGCTTTTGTTCATTAAGCTCCGTTTAAGAACTCCCTTATTTACAGCAGAAACAAAACTGTCCCGATAATTCACAGTTTGTATACTAGTTTAAACATTTATATAATGCATCGTGCGATCAGCAGAATTCCTATACCGAAGATCTTCAACTACCTTTTTATCCCGCATAGAGTCTACTGGAGTAAATTTCTTATGAACCAGAGTTCCAGAAAATCTAAATTTCTTAATGATCATCAATCATTAAAAGTCCACACGCTGTACGTGGAGCTTTCTTGCATACCTTGCATTTCAAGCATATTGCTTTTTTTTTGTACAAAGATCAATGTCATACACACCCAGAATATATTCATACAGCTTAAAAGCATGGGTTTGAGGCAACATATACCCAGAAAATCTATACATATATTTAAAAGCATAATTTAAGGCCATCATTTCCCACCCCCGCTCCTCCAATAAACATAACTGCCATCCGACTACCCACTTTAAAATTTCAAACCCAGATATTATATTATTATATTATTTTGAACCAGATTCTGAAAATATTGAACCCCAAAATGTGATGCATATTTTATCTTGATTAAAGAGCCCATCATGTCACGTTGGACATCTTAGCTACCGTAGCATTGGTTCTTTTTTGTGGTGGTCTTTTTTTGTGGTGTTTTTCACAAGACTCAGTACATTGATAAATACAATGTAACCCAGAACAAACAGAATAACTGGGTAGAAAACAAACCACACTTGCACAAAGGGGACCAGTGTACTCCGTGGAGTTGGGTAATTGCTGCTCCCTCGGGAGTCAGGGTATCCGTACAAAGACTACAATCAACACTGGTATACAACATGTCATATCCCAGTTGTATAAAAAAACAGGTATAATTTATAGGAAATGCCATTGATCCCAACTCATTGGTAGTCACTACAGAGTGTTAGACAGCTGGAGGATAGCAGTGAGATTGTAGAAATTTCTTTTCTTTTTAGAAATCTTTCATTGAGCATTCCAACTCTCGAGGAGTCACGATTCAAAACTCATCTTCGGAACTGTCAGCTAAGAGCATTACCCGGTCTTGCATGCTGTTAAATTCTCTCTGCTTGGTAAGGAAAATAAGAGGGAGAAAGAGAGATTAAAACAATTTCAATGACTGTGCAGCAATATATGATGGGAGAGGGGAAAACAAAAAAAACAAACTTTTTTTTTTTGTTTGTAGTTTTATTTCAGAGTGAAAGACTCCTCAAGGTTAATGAGTGAATTTACAGATTTGAATAGTGAATAAAGATCAAGTTTCACTGATATTCTATCATACCTTTCTCTTATGCTGTTTGAAGCCATTTCTCCTGCGGCGATTTATAATCTTTATGCTGTACAGAACTCCAAGGATGGTTAGGGCACCGCTGATTCCAACTCCCACAGGTGCCAGCATCCCAGACATATACCCAGCCTGCATTAAAAGCAGAAGCCCATAAATATTCACAACTTGTATTATGCACAATCTCCTGGCACATAATACACTAACCCTTCCATGCCTGGGAAAGCCATTATAGCAGTACGCACAGTCTACGTTTTAACTCCAAATTCTTATTTAACACAACCACAATATATCTTGCATCATTTTAATGTTTGCATGCAAATTAATGGTTTCTTAAAATGATTTGACCTTCTTTATAGAACAAGGAATATTCAAGGTGATGCATTTCAAAGTCAATATTTACTACATCGTGCACAAAAAATGAATTGGTATTCTGGTAAGTGTAATGACAATAATTGCAGCCACTGTCAAATTTACTCTTAAGTATAACAAATAGGCAATATATATAACACAGGCTATAATTCTCATTGGAGAAGAAGGACACATTGTTTGTCTTCCAGGGGACATGGGGACACCCTGTCCCTAGTCTAAATGTATATGGGGTGCTCATATCCTGTTTGGTTATTAACCCCTCACCTCCTACATACGTTTTTCCCAGTGGCATAGATTGAAGCCAAATTGCAAAATAACAAAAATAAACATTTTCAGGCTCTCTGACATTTTGTTGAGCAATTTATTGCGTTTTACTGAAACAAACCCTTCTTTTTCTAACCATTAAAGGACCATTATAGTGCCAGGAAAACATACTCGTTTTCCTGGCACTATAGGGCTCTGAGGGTGCCCCCACCCTCAAGGTCCCCCTCCCGCCAGGCTCTGGGGAGAGGAAGGAGTTAAACTTACCTCTTTATCCAGCGCCGGGTGGGAGCTCTCCTCCTCCTCTCCGCCTCCTCTTTGGCTGATTGCGCATGTGCAGCAGGAGCTGTGCGCGCATTCAGCTTTCCTATGGACGCAAGCACCTCTAGCGGCTGTCAAGAGACAGCCACTGGAGGCTGGATTAACCCATAGGTAAACATAGCAGTTTCTCTGAAACTGCTATGTTTATAGAAGAAAGGGTTAAACCTAGCTGGACCTGGCACCCAGACCAGTTAATTAAGCTGTAGTGGTCTGGGTGCCTATAGTGGTCCTTTAATGTTCAAGTCACATAGAATATTTTTTTAAATTATTTTGGAGTCTATTTGCATGGTCCGTGTTTTGGGAGGGATTTGCCAGACATCATCAAATAAATATAAAATAATTTAAAAGTCTTCATTTATTTATTTTTTAAATGAGAGGATTACTAATTATTAGATGTAAAGCATCTTTTTTATATATATCAGTCAGGAAGAATGGTACCAAATACCTATAGTCATTAATCCTACACTTTAGAATAATATTAATATTTTACGTTAAAACTTACCATTTTATTTTTCTGATGTCATTTATCTACCATTTAAAAAAATTATATTTCTACAAATAATGGATTTAAATTTTGCCAGCAGTTTATAAAATAAATCCTATGTGATCTGTAAAATGCGGTAAATGTGGTAGCTCCACCAAAAGACCTCCAATATGTTTATAATATTCTACATAAAAAAAGACTGCATCTACACTGAACAAAAAAACATTATATGAGGAAATATTATTTTGTAAACTTTACAGAGTAAAGTGAGGTGGAATCTCGGTAAAAATAAATTTAGTAGGCCGAGATTACCACGTGGCATGTGTACGTGCATATGCTGACGTATCGATCAGTAGTGTACGGAGCATGTGCAAGAATACAGGATGTAGTATTCCCCTCCTCCATTGTGCTGGACAAGCCATGCGGTCAAGCAGGAAGTTAATTCTTATTTGTAATGATTGGTCAAGAGAATGTGCGGGTGGAGCTTAATATGGGAGGAGTTATGTGCCTATATAGGGAGCCTGCACTATTGTTCAGGGCTCAGAACTTGCTGTATTTTTGGTGACATTAGTCCCTCTGAGTCCCGATCGGTGATCCAATAAAGAATCTCTTCCTTCCTGAAGAAACCTGTGTCCATCTCTCTGTGCTTTGCTTCCGTCAGTTTCTCCGGTATCATTTGGTGCATTGGCCGGGAAGCTCATCGTTCAACGGTAGCTGAGAGGCAGAGGCGTGAGACGGTCTATCTTTGCCCACGTTCTCTACGGCTGCACCCCTGAACTTCTGCGTGGACCTCCCTTCGTCTCGGCGCCACTGGTCTGTTGTCCAGGAGATCATCGGCCTCTACATAAGAAGTGCTGGGGTGTCCCCGTCGATGAGTGTGAACTCAGGTTCAGGAACGAGGAGGTAAGACAACTGCTGTTTTAGACGGCAGACCCACTAGGGGTATACCGATTGTGCGGTAGGCCCAAAAGGGGTTTAAATCTGTGTATGGAATCTGCCCCCTCTGTCGGAGGGAAGGAGCGAAGGCGCACCGCTCGATCGAACGCTCTTTAGTAAGACCGTTTGATCTGGTTAGTCAGGCGGGGTCCTGTGTAAATAGCCCTAGCCGGACACCGGTGTCTTGTCTAGACTAGCGTTCTAGGGTGTATATTACGTTCGCTAGGTCGGAGGGACCGGGAGACTAAGCGGCGCCTGTGTAAATTCGGTTCGCTAGCTCTCAACCTATCTTGGCTAAGTGGGAAGGCGTGTAAATTTGGAACCCACTAGACTTTTGATAGAGTAAATAGACTAGAAGGGCAATTTTGTAAATTTCGCCCTCTAGTTCGCTATATGTGGTGTTTGGGCAGTGTGGCTAACCAAAACGGGTGTATATAGTTTTAGGTAGTCCATTCAAGGTACTGGCCAATAGTTTAGTTGGGATTGTAAATGTGTTAAAGATTGTTAGTAAAGTGTATATCTTGTTAGATAGCGCGAGCTCAGCCGTCTAGCGAGAGTGTTAATAGTGTGTTGCTGTATCATAGTGCACGGTACCATAACCCTGTATATTTACTGACACTGTATATAAGTACTAATCATTGTCGTCTATTGCATGTTTAACACCGTAACCACTAATAATTGTATGTGACCTTAAATTGTGCTTTGACCTATGCTAACCGTACTGTAACCGATACTAGTAAAAGACGATGTTACTGGGGTGTGTTATAGACGGGTAATTCATATATAGAGAATTATAGCGTGGGTGACTGTATAGTTTCGCCAAAGGGCATAATATTGATTATTTAGTGACTGGTGTAACAGCTGTGTGTGTACGGGAATTCCCTGAGTGATTATTGTGTTATTGTGTACGTTTCACTCGGTAACTGTACCACGTGGTGCTGTTGCCAGAGGAAACGGGTGTGACTGTTGAATAAGAACGCGTGCATAGTATTCGTTGTCAACGACGCTCCATTGATAAGTATGGGCGCGTCAGAGTCAACGATTTCGGATCCCTTAGGTTGTATGGTAAAGAATTTTAAAAAGGGATTCAAAACATGTGATTTTGGGGTTAAAATGTCTCCTGTACGTTTGGTCACTTTGTGCACTAGGGAGTGGCCTATTTTGGTTGCGGCATGGCCGCCGCGTGGCAGTTTGGATCCAACCCTGGTACAGCGTGTACACGTGGCTGTGTCAGGTAGGCCTGAACTTTACGGACAGTTTCCATACATTGATTGTTGGGGCAGGCCGTAAACGACTCGCCAAAATGGATCCGGATATGCCACGAGGAGCAATGTCGCCTCATGGTGGCCAGGACTTGTTTGTCCACTAGGACTGGTGTTAGGCCCATTTTGGACACGCCCCCTGAGTCCGAGATCCCTTTGCCGCCCCCTTACTTTCCTTTAAGAGGAAGTGACGCGAATGCAGGAAGCTCTGCACCCCTTCCCCTATTGCCCCCATCCACTTCCGCTTCCTCCTCCAGTACAGAATCCACCCCCCCTCGTATTAAAACTCCCCTTCCGGAACCAGGACCAACCCCCATTAGATTTGAATATCCTGATTTGGCGCCACTTCAAACTTCCGGTCAAGCTTCTTCTAGCTCGGCTCGGAGTATACTATTCACTAACTTTTCCCAAAATCAAGTTCCCACATCCTCATGCCCTATTACCTCTCGACCGGAACCTTTAACTGACGCCCCTCCACGTAGCCCCATACTAACCCGACAACTGACCGGTACCCAACAATTAAAACATTATCAGATGCCTCTTCGTCTGAATCCTGGGTCAGCCTATATCGATGCCGCAGGTCAAATGGCACATGCTGACCCAGTCTTCGTATATGTCCCGTTCACGACTACCGATCTCTTGAATTGGAAGACCCACAATTCCTCGTACACTGAGAAACCACAAGCTATGACCGATCTGTTCACCTCGATAGTTCAGACACATAACCCGACATGGGCTGATTGCCAGCAGTTATTAATGACATTGTTCAATAATGAGGAAAGGACAAGGATTAACCAAGCGGCCATTAAGGCGCTAGAGGAGAGAGCCCGTGCTTTAAATCAAGCCAATCCGGCAGCATGGGCCGCAACACATTACCCTAACACCGATCCTGACTGGAATGTAAATGGCGCAGATATGGCTCAACTTAAAGCCTATAGAGATGCTATAATTGCTGGCATGAAAGCCGGAGGGAAGAAAGCTATTAACATGTCGAAGACAGTTGAGGTGATTCAGAAAAGTGATGAAGCGCCCAGTGTCTTTTATGACCGATTATTGGAGGCATACCGCTTGTATACCCCCTTTAATCCGGAAGACGCTGATAATTCCCGAATGGTAAACTCCGCCTTTGTCAGCCAAGCTTACGGAGATATTAAGCGCAAGCTACAGAAATTAGAAGGGTTTGCAGGTATGTCTATCACCCAACTAATGGAGGTAGCGAACAAAGTATATATGAATAGGGAAACAGAAAGTAAGAAAGAGGAAGAGCGCAAGATGCGTAGAAAGGCAGATATGCTAGCGGTAGCGATCGCAGGCGTAGATAGACGGGGCCCAGATAGAGGCGATGGTAGATGGAATAGGGAGCCTTTGAGTAGGAATCAGTGCGCGTACTGTAAGGAAGAAGGGCATTGGAGGAACGAGTGTCCGCAAAGAGAGCAGTATGAGAGAGACTTACCCAGGGCAGGTTACGGAAACTTTAGAGGCAGAGCGAGAGGTAGAGGAGGCCCCGGAGGGAGTAATGGTAATAGAGGGAGTAATGGTAATAGAGGGAGTAATGGGAACAGAGGAAGTGTAAGGGAAGATAGGTACTATCCAGCAGCGCAAAGGTCCCGCGATAGAGAAGGTAGGGACTTTGTGGGATTGGCTGACACGGTCATGGAGGACTATTGATACCGACCGGGCTCCATCCCCCTTGGTCGAGCGGAGCCTATGGTCGATGTATCAATAGGGGGAAAAAGGAGTGCGTTTATGATCGACACTGGTGCTGAACATTCGGTGGTGACTAATCAAGTTGCTCCTCCATCTGGAAGAACTATTACTGTAATAGGAGCAACTGGAAGAAGTGCTGAAAAACCGGTTCTTAAAAGTCGACTCTGTACATTGGGAGGCCACGTAGTAAAACATCAATTCCTTTATATGCCTGAGTGTCCAGTCCAATTGCTGGGACGTGATATGCTATCCAAATTACAAGCGCAGATTACGCTCCTACCAAATGGAACAACATCCTTAAAGTTTAATGGACCCTCAGGTATTATGACATTGTCCGTACCAAAGGAAGAAGAGTGGCGACTTTATACAGTGTTGACTAGCCAAAACCCGAGGAGTGATGAATCCTTATTTAACATACCAGGAGTTTGGGCAGAGAACAACCCACCAGGACTGGCCCGCAATATTCCACCTATTAAAATCGAACTAAAACTTGGGGTTTATCCAGTAAGCCTGAGACAATATCATATTCCGCAGAAGGCTAAGAAGAACATCCAATCTTATCTGGATAAGTTCATACGGTATGGTATCCTAAAATTCTGTACTTCCCCCTGGAACACCCCATTGCTGCCTGTTCAAAAGCCCGGTACAGATGAGTATCGACCTGTGCAGGACTTGAGAGCAGTCAATGATGCGGTTGTTAGTATACATCCAGTCGTGCCCAATCCATATAACCTGCTTGCTTTAATTCCGGGCGGGGCTACTTACTTTACAGTCTTAGATCTCAAAGATGCCTTCTTTTGCCTCCGAATTGCCGCAGAAAGCCAATGTATCTTCGCTTTCCAATGGGAAAATGCTGTAACGGGCTCGAAACGCCAAATGACCTGGACAAGATTGCCCCAGGGGTTTAAAAATTCACCTACCCTATTTGGTTCAGCTCTAAGTCAAGATCTACTAGATTTCGAGTCTATCCCAGGAGAGTGTGTATTATTACAATATGTAGATGACTTGTTGATAGCAGCAGTTACAAAGGAAGTATGTCAGCAAGCAACGCACGATCTACTACACATTCTCTGGAAGGCAGGATACAAGGTGTCAAGAAGGAAGGCTCAGTTGTGTTTGCCAACTGTCAAATATCTGGGATTCCATATCTCTGAAGGTCAAAGAATTATGGGGCCAGAGAGAAAAGAAGCTGTGTGCCAAATACCGATACCCAGGAATAGAAGACAAGTGCGAGAATTCTTGGGGGCAGCAGGCTTCTGTAGGATATGGATTCCCAGCTACGCGATACTGGCAAAACCTCTGTATGCAGCTATCAAAGGTACAGAGCACGACCCCTTCTTATGGACTCAAGAACAGCAAACGGCATTCGAAGATGTGAAGAGGGCTTTGATGAGTGCCCCAGCATTAGGTCTACCTGACCACACACGGCCATTCTACCTGTATGTACATGAGCAAAGAAGAATGGCTGTGGGAGTATTGACACAGTACTTGGGATCATGGCAAAGACCTGTTGCCTACATGTCTAAGCAACTGGATGCAGTGGCCAGCGGACTTCCACCTTGTCTAAGAGCTGTAGCTGCAGCCGCCCTGCTAGTAGCTGAAGCCGATAAACTCACTCTGGGTCAAGAACTTTATGTACGAGTTCCACATGCAGTACAGACGTTGTTGGATTACAAAGGAAATCATTGGTTTAGTAACAGCCGTATGACCAAGTATCAAGCAATGTTGTGTGAAAACCCAAGAGTGCATTTAGAGACTGTAAATACCTTAAATCCAGCTACCCTTTTGCCACAACCTACTGAAAGTCAACATGATTGTTTGGAAGTAATGGATGAAGTATTTTCAAGTAGACCAGATCTTCGTGATTTTCCCATCCAGAACCCTGATGTTCAATATTACACCGACGGCAGTAGTTATGTAAAAGAAGGGATCCGCTATGCAGGATATGCAGTAACAACGATAGACAAGGTGATAGAAGCTCAGCCACTGGCAAAAGGAACATCAGCACAAAAGGCAGAATTGATAGCACTGACACGAGCGTTACAATTGGCTGAAGGTTTAAGAGTGAACATCTACACGGACTCCAAGTATGCGTTTTTAACCACTCATGCCCACGGAGCTTTGTATAAAGAAAGAGGACTATTGAATTCAGAAGGCAAAGAAATCAAATACGCAGCTGAGATCCTACAACTATTGGAAGCAGTGTGGGAGCCGAAAGAAGTCGGTATTATACATTGTCGGGCGCATCTGAGAGGAGATGGTGATGTAACCAAAGGGAATCGGATGGCAGATAGTGCAGCTAAGCGTGCTGCTGAATCAGGAAGACAGGAATATGTGGGGCATATAGCTGCTCTTATACCAACTCCACTGTCTCAATGGACTCCAATTTATACAGCTCAAGAAGAGGAGTGGTTAAGGACTGAACCTGGAAAGTATTTGGAGAACAAATGGTATCAGTTAGAAGATGGAAGAATAGTTATTCCAGCATCACTAGCGGTAGAAATTGTCCAAAACTATCATAACGGGACACATTCTGGGAGAGACAGTACAGAAGAATCTCTCAGAAAACATTTCTACATACCAAGATTGTCCAACTTGACTCAGGCCATTGTACGTAGATGTGTAACGTGTGCTAAAAATAATGCAAGACAAGGACCAGTAAAGCCACCAGGAGTCCAGTTTATGGGGGGACTTCCCATGTCCGATTTACAAATTGACTATACAGTGATGCCTAAATCGGGTGGACATCGCTACCTGCTGGTAGTGGTGTGCACCTATTCAGGCTGGGTAGAAGCATGTCCTACTCGTACAGAGAAAGCAGGAGAAGTCGTGAGATTCCTGCTACGAGAAATAATACCCCGATATGGACTACCCTGCTCTATAGGATCGGACAATGGTCCAGCTTTTGTTCATCAGTGCCTACAACAATTGACTCATATGCTTGGTATAAAGTGGAGGCTTCATACGGCATATAGACCCCAGAGTTCTGGTAAGGTAGAGAGAATGAATAGAACTATTAAGAATCAGTTGGCTAAAATGTGTCAGGAAACCCAACTTAAGTGGAACGTTCTCTTGCCCATAGCTCTATTGCGAATCCGTAGTACACCTACCAGAAGGATGGGCCTCTCTCCTTTTGAAATCATGTACGGGCGACCACCTCCCGTGCTTGGTAACTTAAGGGGGGATTTGAGTCAGTTGGGAGAAGGAATTACCCGGCAGCAGGTTGTAGAGTTGGGTAAGACTATGGAGGAGGTACAGAAATGGGTACAAGATAGATTACCTGTGAATATTTATCCCCCAATTCATAGTTACCACCCAGGCGACCAAGTGTGGATTAAAGAGTGGAATAATGTGCCGTTAGGGCCCAAGTGGAGAGGTCCTTATGTTGTTCTTCTGTCTACCCCTACAGCGATAAAAGTAGCCGAAGTGGCTCCGTGGATACATCACTCCAGGGTTAAACCAGCAGCAGCCGATTCCTGGCAAGTTACAGCAAATCCAGAGAATCCCTGCAAGATCCGGTTAAAACGCACGACTCAGTCGGAGTGACGAGGAACCTTGTAGATTACAAATTTTATTGTTTCAGAGACTTGGTAAGTGAGTGAGAAGGCCATAATAAAGCCTGTCCACTCACCAACGAGTGTATAAGTCAGGGAAAGTCTTGAGGGGACCCCTGTGAAGACGAGCAGAACTCCATTCCCTGCAGTCCTTACATCCTGGAAGCTGAGGTGCCTTCACACGGACGAAGACTGAGGATGACGACGAAAGATGTATTTTTAATAATGTTTATTTATGTGTATTTTTATATTCAGGAAGGTAGAGGTACCAACACTCCTAGCTGTGAGGTATGCATTAAGACTACAAGAACAGGTAACCATATATCCCAGACCCTAATTTGGCATTCGCAATATGAGTGTAAAGGAGATGTATCAAGATGTAGATACTTAAATATAGAATATAGTGTGTGTCATTTAGGAGTAGGAGAACCTAAGTGCTTCAGTCCTGAGTATCAACCCCGTACAATTTGGTTGACTCTCAGAAATGGAGATTCTCAGGGGACCCTAATTAATAAGACGGTATTAAAATCCGTATATTCTTCAGGTGCTCTGCTATTTGATGCGTGTAAAGCAATATCAAGTGGTAGAAAGCCGTGGAATGTATGTGGGGATCTTAGATGGGAGAGGACGTATGGGTCTAACGATAAATATATTTGTCCCAGTAGTAAAAATAAATATGTAAGTCCAAGATGCCCAAATAGAGATTATAACTTCTGCCCATATTGGTCTTGTGTGGGGTGGGCGACTTGGGGACAGACAGCAGACAAGGACATGATTGTGACTAAGTTGCCTACTAATCCATATTGTAAGTCTATGGAATGCAATCCAATCCATATACTTATAAATAACCCTGACAAGTTCTTAGATAAATATGGTAATTTATTTGGGTTTCAAATATATGGGACGGGTTTAGACCCTGGGACAATATTGTTTATAGGGATAGAGTCTGATACGGTAACCTCCCAAACTCATCAAGTATACCATTCCTTTTATGAAGAGATGAGCATAGATAATAAGATCCCCCATAATGCTAAAAACTTGTTCATTGATTTAGCCGAGAGTATTGCCGGTAGTCTTAATGTTACCAACTGCTATGTGTGTGGAGGTACTAACATGGGAGACCAATGGCCTTGGGAAGCAAAGGAGGTAATGTCCGGTTCTGAGGCAGTTGACCAATTAATATCTACACAAGCCGACTATCATATGAGTGTTAGAGGTAAATCTGAGTGGAGATTGAAGACCTCCATCATAGGTTATGTTTGCATAGCGAGGAAAGGAATGATGTATAATACTTCTGTAGGAGAATTAACTTGTCTAGGGCAAAAAGCTTATGATGATGATACAAAGAATACAACTTGGTGGTCGGCTTCAAATGTCTCAGAACCATCTAACCCGTTTGCAGGATATGCCAATTTAAAGGACGTATGGTTTGATCTATCCATCACATCTAACTGGAGAGCCCCAGCGAATTTGTACTGGATCTGTGGTAAGAAGGCCTATTCGGAGTTACCACAGGACTGGGAAGGGGCATGTGTGTTGGGTATGTTAAAACCATCCTTCTTGTTGCCTATTGAAACAGGTGAGACTTTAGGTGTTAAAGTGTATGATGTGAATCATAGGAAGAAAAGGGGACCCATAGAGATAGGTGCCTGGGAAGATAATGAATGGCCTCCCCAGCGTATTATAGATTATTATGGGCCAGCCACGTGGGCAGAGGATGGTACCTTTGGTTATAGAACCCCTATTTATATGCTCAACCGCATTATAAGGTTACAGGCGGTGGTTGAGATCATTACTAACGAGACATCACAAGCGCTCAATCTTCTAGCGAAGCATAATACCAGGATGAGGACAGCAGTTTACCAAAATAGATTAGCCTTGGATTATCTTTTGGCAGTAGAGGGAGGTGTATGTGGGAAGTTTAACCTGAGCAATTGCTGTCTTCAAATAGATGACGAAGGGCAAGCAATAGCTGAGCTTACTAGCCATATGGTTAAACTAGCGCATGTGCCTACTCAGGTATGGAAAGGGTACAATCCAAGTAGTTGGTTTGGTAGCTGGTATGAGTGGTTTGGAGGGCTTAAGGCAGTGGTAGGTGGAGTCCTACTGATTTTAATGTTGTGTCTACTCCTGCCGTGTCTTATACCCTTAGTAGTTAGGTCTGTGCAAAGCCTGATAGAAAATATAGCAGAGAGGAAGGCTGCTGCACAGATAATGGCAATTTATAAATATAAGGCTCTAGATCAGGGAGAACCAATGCAGGAAGACGAGTGTTGAAGATTCACATCGTAGGATAAGTCTGGTCTGGTTCAAAGGTAACTTGTGGTGTATGCAAACCAAGGTTAAGTGATGCCTCAAGTAATTGTAAAATATCAAGAGGCATCAAAGGGGGGAATGAGGTGGAATCTCGGTAAAAATAAATTTAGTAGGCCGAGATTACCACGTGGCATGTGTACGTGCATATGCTGACGTATCGATCAGTTGGTTGCACGAGGCAAGATACGATCAGTAGTGTACGGAGCATGTGCAAGAATACAGGATGTAGTATTCCCCTCCTCCATTGTGCTGGACAAGCCATGCGGTCAAGCAGGAAGTTAATTCTTATTTGTAATGATTGGTCAAGAGAATGTGCGGGTGGAGCTTAATATGGGAGGAGTTATGTGCCTATATAGGGAGCCTGCACTATTGTTCAGGGCTCAGAACTTGCTGTATTTTTGGTGACATTAGTCCCTCTGAGTCCCGGTCGGTGATCCAATAAAGAATCTCTTCCTTCCTGAAGAAACCTGTGTCCATCCCTCTGTGCTTTGCTTCCGTCAGTTTCTCCGGTATCAAAGTATGCTTAATATAATTTTGGTTTGTAATTATGCAAACTGGTAGAGTTCAAGGAAGTCTCATAACAGGGATACAATCTGATTCTAAAGGTTTTGTATGTATTTATTTAATGCATGAATCACAAAGTGGATATACATCAAGTATAACCGCACATACTAAAGACTCCATTTTGTTTAAATGTACACAGGGATTTAGGCAGGTAACGTTTTTTTTGTATTTTGAGCTGTTGTATATTAAGCTACTGCTGCTGTAAGCGTGGTGCTTTATCTTTGTGTTTATAACCGCACATAAACTGCTGTGAACATAAGGCATTGAAAGATAGTCAGTCATGTATTCTACAGAAGGAATGGCGATATCACAGAATGTTTAAAGAGCTTCTGTCACAATGTAGACTACACAAATCTGTTCTTTACACATTGTTTTAAAAGAAATGCAAACAGGTGTATAGTTTGTTGAATTTGTATCCACTCTGTAAGGGGTGCCCTCTGGTCAGACATGGACCACATGTCAATACAAAGAACCTTGGAAGCTATTTCAGAGTGTCAAACCGGGGTGACAGTCAATCATCTGTGTCATAAGGTCAATAACAACATATGATCCTCTGATTTCTGAGGTACTGAATCTACTACTTTAGGAATAAAACAGTTCTATGCACTGTGCCCAGTTTATAAAAATAAAACTCTCTAGGATTCCTCGTAATGTTCCTGAGCATTTCCCACTGTATTTTTGCCGTTGTAGTTGCACAATGCCCACATATAGGAAGAGTATCAAAACTGCTGAGCTTTATCCATTTCTAGACAGTCGTTTCTTACTGTAGATGTGGCAGTTCAACAACTTCAATCTTTTCTCGTTGACTGGACACCAGGTTAAGTGACTCCTGAATTTACCTAGCTTTTGGAGCAGTCATTAGCTTAGGGAACTACATATTTTTTCACCCCAGTCAACTTTATTGGTGTAGCGGACCACTAGTAACTCCACTGGTTACCTCCGTTAGAATTTCCTCTCAGCCAAACTGGAAGCGTTCGTGATTATAGCTCTTTCCCCCAAGAACCAGATGAGACATAGTCATGGGTGAAATCTGTTTTTATTGATCAGAATGCAGCCTTTTATGCGCAGACCCCCAGCATGGGATCTCCATTCTTTCACACATTGATCCCACCCAGGCATCTCTGTGTTTGTTAGATAATGGAGTCAAAGACCGGTAAGTTAATTAACTCCCGGATACAGAGAGCCGAACACAGTAAAGCCCCCAAAATACATGGAAAACTGTTATGAATCCCCACAAGTCTTATGTCCCCAGAGAGCTCTCGGTTGAGCACCCAAATTGTCCAAATTGCACTCTGAGGGGATTTGGCCAAACACTAACCCGTTAAAGTTCTGACTGACCGTTGGCATGGTCTCTTGCCGAAAACATGTCCAGGCAGTTAGAGGTATTGGCGGGTCTTTTAACTGGGTCTCTGTGTGGAGATTGTTCCTCTCCCAACTGTATGCTCCCATCCAAAGAGTGCTATGGTATTAAGGTATGAAAACTGAAGGGCAAGTTAACCGGAAAAAAGTACTCTGGGTAAGCAGACTGGAGTTCCAGGGTGAACTATGAGACGTTCTGCTGACTTGTTCGGTATGTTGCAATTCAGGAAATAACTTGCAAATAGACATGAATGAGTGTCGGCTGGACTCTATGGAGGGGAAAAGGAACAGAGGGCCAGGGAAGTGTTATAGTCTTTCAATTACATTTAGAGGTTTTTGCCAAGTGGGTGTATAGTGGGGCCAGCACCAGCCCTACTGAGCAATCACCACCTAGCAACAGCAGGACTAGTAGAAGTATCACTAATTGATGCAATGGGAGGTATGTCAAGTCTGCAACTGCACTGAGTGCTTTTTCGAAACTGCCTTCACCCACACACCACCTTCAGCAGGAACATAATGCCCTCTCTGGTCTCCTCTAGGTAATGAGAATTTTAGGCAGTTCACTTAGTGCTCTATATGCAATCTGTATCGGGGTGTAGTAGGTGTAACAGTTGTTCCATCTTCGTGGTCTTATAGGAGCACAGAGCTGATAACATTTTGCAAGCACTTAGAAAGTTGATGGACATGTCCATTGGACAGCAGAACAATACACATATGGAAACTGGGTTTGTGCTCAATCATTGTGTTTAAAATATATAGAAGACACTTCAGGAAAGTAACTTTGCAAGTGTGTACTCTGCAGCTCATATTCTACTTATGGCGGTAAAACAAACTGCTCCTGGCAACAAGGACTACCATATTGATATTTGATGAAAAAGATTTCTCCAAAAGCAGAGCAAAATGTTATTAACAGTTAGGACAAAAAAGATGTGAAATGCTCTACACAGAGGTCATGTTATCAGTTTCCAAAGATTCTTGAAAATGTCTAGATTCTCTTGTTTGTGAAAATGGGGCATTCAGTATTATGGCAGCTAATAGGTCAAGTATTAATAGCTAATTGATCCAAGGAGAAATTGGATTACTATTCTGAAGTTAGTAATTATGTTTTCCTATTTGTGGCACAACTGTGAATAGGTTTCCTCTTGGTAGACGAGGTCTGTCCGGAAAGATATAATATGAAAAATAGAGTCATTTATTGAACATACAAGATACAAGAAACATTTTACATAGTACAATGATGCCTCAGTCCCCTTCAAAGTAGGTATTTTTGGACCTCACACAGTTCTCCCAGTGAGTCTTCCACTGTTCAAAATACTCTGCAAAATACTTTTTTGGAACCGCCACCAGCTGCCTCTTCATATTTACCTTAATCTCATTGTCAGTCTGAAATTTCATACTTTTCAAAGGTGATTTTAGTTTTGGGAAAAGCCAGAAGTTGCTGTAGAAGCATTCTTGAGATGGACAACACCTTGCCAATCACAAAACATAGTTAACATAGTCTTGATCTTGCAGTGACTTTGCCACATTTTCCTTGGATGTGAAGAACCAGGAAACCTCCATTGGGAGGACTGGGCCTTCATTTCCAGATCATAGCCTTAGACCCATGATTCATCTCCGGTTATGACCTTCTTGAGGAAATTTCCTTGGCTGCCAGGTTACATCGATGTCACACAAACCATTTGTTATATTAACAAAGGCTGGACAGACCTCATATTTGTGCTGTTTGCCCTCTCAGCCCTTGATCACCAAGAAAAGGGACTTGAAAATCCATCAGAGTTGTCTCCTTACTAGAACTGACTGTACTAAACTGTCTTATGACAAAGATCTGCCACAGTCATTCCTGTATTTAATTCTTACTAATGGAGCCAAAAAAAACTATATATTGTTACTGCCAAAAATCTTGTCACCAAGTAAATTATTCCCAGGCCATGACAGTGGGCTTAGACCAGTCTGATATAGATCTTTATATACTAACAGTTTCATTTTTATGAAGATTGGGCAGAAACAATGCTTTCACTGAGTCATCTAAATCCATACTGGGAAGGATTCCAGATCAATAAAACTTTAAATGAAGAAAGGGAAACGCAAAAACAAACTTGGCTTTGTATTAAGAATAACACTAGTCTTAAAGACATTACCATATTGCCAAAACTACAATAGAGACAAAAAAAAGGAAAGCACGTCTTGAATATGTACACGTTCCACCGTATCCTCTGCATTATATTTGAGTGACTTAAAACAACTGATCAGTCATTCAGAACACACACCATTTACCTCCCCTACTACATCTTTATTAATACCAATGATCTAGGTTTTAAACATCACCAAACAGAAAGTGTGGGATGTGACCAATATTTCACACTATTCCAACGAAGAGTAACTTTGTTAAACTTTGTAAAAACAAAAGTTAGAAAGATTCAACATGAACGGAATATCAGTCGGTTTCTATAAAAGCTGCAGAAAATGTACAATCATTGGGTTTCTACCTAGGGGATAGCATGGATCATGGAGCAGATGGGAGCAGGATAATGGACTTTGACAACCCCTACAATAGGACAGCTGGGGCTCAGTCAATACTTAAGAACAATTCCATGTTGGAAATGGAAAAGCGAGATGTGGTGACAATAAGTGGAACACTGAATTGAATGATTAACAAAAGGAGGAAGACAATCATGTGAACCCAAAGAAGCGTAAACACAAAATGTAAGAGTCTTATTATCGGGATAAATTGTATACAAATAGATTTTCAAAGTTAAACTAAGGATTCATTGGAAGGTACACTACTTGTGTATAAGAGCACACTTCGTACATATCATTATGCTGCTACCGAATAAAAATACAGTGTCTTAAAATCAATTACTTTTACATAACTTGCCAATTGATGTGTTTGGTCACCGTAACAATTACCCAATCCATCAAAATTTCCCAACTCAATAACCGAATTTTATACGACTTAAACAATTTGCGCAGCTAAATAAAAGTACCATTATTCTGCTGGGTATATTATTTTAAATCTGTTTGTTTAAATAAAAGGTCCAATGTGAGCTATTTTTTAACAATGTTTAACATATTCAAGAACAACATTTTGTCACTGTCAAGATAAAAAGTGTTTTCTGATGGCCTGGTAATGAAGGGGTTAAGAATGAATTTTAAGGTTAATGATGAAAGCAGAGAAATGATCATAAAGTTCAGTAAAAAACATTAGAGGGCAAACATTTATTGAAATTTTACTTAAATTTCTCTTACATAAAAAAAAAGTTAAATTGATGCATTATATTTCTCACATATCCTGCCCTGGCTGAGGAAGATGGGAGTTGCTGCATTAGATTATCTAAAAATTCCTCTTCTTCACACCTATTGCGTGCCATTTTAAAGTCATTTTATGTATGATAATTTGTTTGAAATATAAAGATATAGTTTATTTTTTATGCTTTTTTTTTTATTTCCATAGATCATGGGATACTTTTAATCTCCTCTGTGCAGCATTGTAATAAGCTACAATATATCTCTTTCTTGGGACAAATTATTCCTTAAAATATCTACACGAATATATCAAGTGGCTGGGAGGTATGCAGATTATTCTGCAGTGCACCAAAGTTAACTGTCTCTCATTGTTTAATTATAAAGCGCAACGTTTCAGTGACAGTAAGTAGCTACCGTGTGCCCAATACATTTATCAAGAACCAGTGCTAATTATAGATATAGCAGATACATCGCTTTATTGATCAATGGTACCACTAGAGCAGGTTGGTGTTCATACGCCATTATATATATATATTATATGGGCTCTAGACTAACATGGGCTAATTCAGATAAGTAAAAAAATCGACCTTTGTTATGATTTGATTAATGCTTAAATGGTGATTTTTTTATATTTTTTATAGATCAGCTATTTTGATCTATATTTTGAAATTATAACAGTCAGAAAAATAGGAATAGTTACTGTTATTAATGGGTCAAAATAAGCGGTCTAACAATATAACTTCAAAGAATATACATAGCTGACATAGACCGTCTTTTCAATCTTGCCTGAAATTTTAAAAATCTAACAGAATTCTCTTTTAATTTCCCACGATTCAGTTTAGAGAATAGGAGTGAGAGATTGTCCACGTTGCAGAGCAGAACTAGAGGTTTATCACTCGAGTGCATTAGAGCGGAATGTACAGTTGTCCGGGAAAACATTTTTACCGTGACAGGCAGAGGATGATTTTGGCTCCACATTGGACATTGTCTGAACATTATGCACTGCCTGTCTTAAATTTCACATCCTGTGGAGCAGACCAGTTTAAATGACAGGTATGTGTATATACCACTAAACCGGAGTTGCATATTTATTAAAGGGGAAAAAGAAATGTTGGGGGAAAAAATTGTCTCAGATGCCCCCCATTGGTTAATTGATCTAGATTGAATCAATATTTGACACAAACGTTATTTTAAAACAAATGTGACATTGAGCTGTTTATTACACATTCATTCACACAAATTTATGTCCGGTTGTCTGCGTGCCAATCCAAAATGGGAGAACACTTTCTAGAAAAAAATAAATTAAAAAAAATCACGATTGTTCACCACTGGTTTTCTTGTGTATAAGGCCCACACAGACACATTGTGTAAGACATTAATAGTTCTTGTTTGATGTTAGAAATATCACCATGCTGTAGATACAAACCTTGATATCCTTTAACTCTTGCCTCATTGTTTCAACTAAGATTAGATTTAAAAATTCATATTATAAGACACTCTGCTACCAACAGGATTTGTGTCTATCATGACACAAACACAGAAAACAATCAGTGCCTCCATTTCTCTAGCTGAGCTTATCTAAAGATGAAACTTGCATTGTCACAGGGTGTTAAGGGCTTGTCTCTATAGAAAATAATACTTTTATATTTTAATGTGAGACAACCTTACCTTGTCTTTCAGTTTTTCCATCCAACTTCTCACTGAAATAAAAAGACAAAAGAATATAATTTTAAAACCTGATTTAATAGTCAATGTGAAAATGTAAAATTTTTGCACCATGTACAAGGAAACAAAATGTAAGCATATGTTGTAAGATTTTAGACTAGAAACCAAAAACGAATGTTCTGAGAATGTAAGTCTAGAAAATAATGAATATTCTGAGCAGCGTCATCTTCTGGGAGGTTTATGGTCACACTACAGGGCTTCTTTGCAGACTGCAATAGTAGCATGCAATGCCATGTACACTACTAGTTTCTGAATTTAGCCAGAAGCGGCACTAACTTTATGTGGTCATAAGCCCATATACTCATATTATTTTCATATTGGGATGTTCATTAAAGACACTCGAGTTCCTGAATAAGTACAGAAGCAGACACGTCATTTCAAAATCACACAAACACACAAATGTTATTTCTGCTCAGTAACGATAACCAGAATGTTACTAATAAGGCACAATTCTGGAAAGGAAAACACAAAGGAGAATAAGTAAGGTTTGCTTGACAAATGAAGAAAAGGAAGCAGGGTTGGTGAGAAAATAATGGAGAAAAGCAATGTATAGTGAAAATATATAAGGCTTTCAAAAAATGACTGCGTAGTAATCATGGCAGCCCAGTAACGCTCAAGTAAAGACAGAATCCATAAATAAATCCAGAAATAAACAAATGGATTTACTTAATTTACAAAGAAAATTATTGCGTCAAGGGCAGAAAGACTGCCCCCCGGTTTAATATACACATGGTAAAGGAACTATGCAGCTGGGCTATATATAGTTGTTAGAGACTACCAGAAAATATACATTGTATAGTTAATCAAAAAGTATGTTGCAGAGATAGTTTTGTTTTTTTAAAGTATTAGTGAATTCAGTCAGTTTCTAACAAGGAATATTAATTCAGTTTGGCCGTAATTACCTCTTTTTCACACAGAGAATAATGCATAGGTCCCACAAACACAACATGCATCACCGTATTCCTAAAGCCATCACCCCATCCCCTTCTCCCGAGATAATGAATTCAACACAGCAAGAAGATCGGTTAGAGCAGAAAGTTACTATCGCCTAATTAATCAAGTGCTTAGCAAAGGAACGAGGCCTGACTATAAAACGTGAGTTTCAGCATTAGGAATCTGCTTAATTCTAATATAAAATCAATGTATTTGCAAATACGACTGCAGTGCTAATGTCTCTTTTAGAGATAAATATTTAAGGACAGAATAACAGCTTCCATCACCTATTTAGTACAGTGTCTAAATAAAACCTTTGTATTCCCTAAAAAAAAGGATATGTTGTCTAAAATATAGATTAGGAGGTTAAGTAAAGATGCTGACAATGTGCTTTTGAGCATTTCCACTGACAATATCTCTGGAAGCTAATGCTGTTTAGTCAGATGTAGATCTGGGATAGTTGAGAAGTTGCTAAGGTAGACTAGAACTCTGAGGAGCTCAACTGGGTGCAAGCTCCTGAGACTCCTGTAACGGCACCCCCAGGCATAAAAGGGGTTAAACCGCCATTTAGAGGATATTCCCCTTCCAGATACACAGCCAGCTACCAAAGACACCAATCCACCGAACCGGAGAAGCATACGAATGCTCTCAAATAGTGATGTCCCAAACGGTTCGCCGAACGGTTCACGAACGGTTCACCACGAACGATTCGCCACAGACTCATCATTGAGTAATCTTTGACCCTGTACCTCACAGTCAGCAGACATATTCCTGCCAATCAGCAGCAGACCCTCCCTCCCAGAGGGTCTGGGAAGGAGGGTCTGCTGCTGATTGGCTGGAATGTGTCTGCTGACTGTGAGGTACAGGGTCAAAGTTTACTCAATGATGAGTCCGCGGCGAACCATTCGTGGTGAACCGTTCGCAAACCGTTCGGCGAACCGTTCTGGACATCACTACTCTCAAACATATGAATGCTGTAAAAAGTCGAATAGGAAAAACCATACGAAAGGTTTACACTCCTAGCAGTCCAACTGGAACAGCATACAATAAATCCCCCCAAGAACGAGACAAGGCTCCATGTTGAGGGTCAAAACAGGAACAGACAGAGCTGTGGGTTTATTGTTCTTATATACACATTCTTACACATTAGTACCACCCACAGGGTTTTGTAAAACAACCAATAAACACATACAATACACTCAGACACTCCCACACAAAATCCTACCCTCTGCCTGTGATACAATTACCTTACACAATGGGTTAATTTAATTATCACAGGCAGAGAAATACAGTTTTTCCACATTATTCATAACTTTAAAAGTATGCATCACATTCACATTTACATTTACATTTTCAGAATCAGCATACTCCAAATACAAATATATGTCAAAATCATCCAAATTGGTCCGGTGGTTCAAAAAATAGATCGAAATCCTTTGTCACCAAATGAAGCATGACTTTTCTGCCCAAAACCAGTTCCACAGAGTCTTCTATCCTGGAGATAATTGGGAAGTAATCCAATTATCTCCAAGGACAGAGGCAAAACTCAATTGAACACATGGTAGCAAAAGACAATAAAATACATAAAATATATAACTGTGCAGCTATTGCATAAAACAGGTACATTCAAAATATTCCCAGATAGCTTAGATCTGAGCGCACATTATTACTGAATGGCGCTCAGATCACATACATACAGTTAAATTGCCATGGAGCCAAAGTCTTTTACATAGTCTTTCGTTATACGAATGGGCTCCATGGCATAGCTATCTGGGGTATCAATGTTCAAATAGGGCACGTACCGAATGACCCGGCTTTAGTGTCCTTCAAGGGGAAAATCAAGAGTTTCAACATGGGGCCATAGTCTAAAGGCAGCAGGCGGGCAACCAGGCTTCTCCAATGCACAGTGGTGAGATTGGTCTCGTCACAACTCCTTACAATAGCCTCCAACAGCAAACAGACCAATAATTGAGCCTCAACACTAGAGTTCTAGTGAAGGAGGCAAAGGAATTCAAGGTCTTTCTAAAGCTTGTCAAAGACCTTTAAATTAGGTTAAAAACGATACCTGGCGTTGCAGCTCAATTATTTGCCTTTTAGTAGATCTGAGATGGCCAGCTAAAGGCTCTCGAGATGTGCTGGATCTACAAATGTTGTAAAAGTCAGTTAAGGAAAGAATTCTCCCCCCTTCGCTTCTCTCTTTCAGCTGCACTTAGACCATGCCTTTTCTACCCTTCAGGCCTTCTCCATTGCTCTCGCCCCATCACTTGTCTACTTGACTCCGCCTCATCTCACCTTTTCAGATCTCTGTCTCCCTGTCTTGTGCCATTGTTAACACATATCTACAACTGTTCTCCTCTAGCATTGTCCCTACTCCCCTTAAACAATGCCAATCGTACCCGTACTTAAAAAGCCATCACCTGACCGGTCTTCCGTTTCCAACTATCGTCTCATTTTCCTGCTCCCTTTTGCCTCCTTTTTTTCCTTTAACCATCTGACTCGCTTTTTCAATTCCAATTCTCAAAGCCACTACAGGCGGTCTCTAACACTGAAATGTAAACATTGTAGTTTCTCTAAAACAGGGACAATCCACATTTATGAGGTGAAGTGATCTGGGTGCCATAGTTTGCCTTTAAAGAGACACTATAGAAACCCGAACCATTTCATCTCAATGAAGTGGGCTGGGTGCCATATCCAAGTCTGCTTAACCCACCAATGTAAGGTACTGTGTTCTGCAGGAATGGCAATGTTTTAATTGCAGGGTTTAAATGCAGCTAGTGGCTGCCATCGGATTCACACAGCATGCGCCACTCATGCGCATTAGCCTCCAAATGCTTTCCAATATCTTGATTGTCTCAGACAAGGAGGTGGGAGGGCAGCACAGAGGCAACATAAAATCATCTTTCTCCTTCACAGAGCGGCCGATAACCTAACTAGTTAGAAGGGTACTGTAGTATTGGAAATACACATTTGTATTCTTAACGCTATATTGTTTGTCTGCTCACTTGGGATAATTCCCTCTAACTTGTACATTCTAAGATGAAGTTTCACAGATGCATATATACATGTATTACTCATTTATTACTTTGAGGTATTTTGGGATTTGTTGCACAGTCTAACATTTTTGTGCTCTGTGGGACCTTACAAGGTGGTCAAGGACTAGGTGGCCTAAGCACAAACAAAGAATGGACAGAAAATAGGAAACATTGTAATGAAATGGAAAATGGTATTTTATAAAATACTCCATTCTTTGGGTGATAGGATATTGTAACCTAAGCACATTGCACGGAGAACGTGGAACATTTAAACCCAAATATTCCCATGAAGACAGCATATGCTCCTGTATGACAATGTCAGAGTAGGTTTTTCTTGTGGTAGGGAATGCTACCTAATTATAAATGTTTTGGAAACTGCTCTCAAATAATTATAACCAAAGAAAAAACCTAATGTAAAAAATTTATAAAACCCCATCACCACGCTCGCGTTAAACATTTGCCTGGTGCACGAAAGAACACATGCTTATTGCTAAGTGTATTCAATTTCGCTAGTAATGTAAAAAAAGCTTAAGGGCAGGATAGCTGTGACTCCCCATGGGATACGCTCCATCATTTCAATGAACGCAAAACATGATTACGTTAAAATGCCCTCATTGTGATACAGAGACTTTGTTTTCAGCTGCTACACTCCGTTTCTCTTTTGAAGACGATATTAGACTTACGTTAATATTTAATACTGCATAGATGTTCTTTTTGTTAATAATACCCTTAGGCTGATAAAGCCCTTAAACTCATCTCTGACACATTGCTCGCTGCTAAGGAAATGTATCTCTGTTGTGTAAATAGAAATGGTATTATTTATTTAAGTCAGCAGCAGTTGTCTCGGTTTAAAAAGATATATATATATATTTCTGAGTAATTAGGAGACATATGTTTGTCTTGCAATATTAGTCTCAAGACGATTGTTCTTAGAGGGAATCGGTCATCGTTAGCATAGGAGTCCTGGTTTTAATGTGTTAATAACTGGATCTCCACAATCTTGGGTTCATCAGCCGACTAGTGAATTGTGCCGATGTGAAAGTGGAATTGTGAAATTTAGCCCAAGCTAGCTGAGCTGAAAAAAACCTTGTCCAACGCAGTTATTGTAGCCGAAATTTGATTTTCAACTTGCAATAATTGACTATGTAGTAAATAATGCCCCTTTACTAGCCAGACACATATTAAAGGTTTCAATAGGTGCACATTTTAATGTATTTATAATTCCAGCACTGGCCTCGGGTGGACACATTTCTCTCTTTGTGTGTCATTCTGAATACATTGTCCTCAGCACACATGACAGGAGGACGCTGGGTGAGGAAAACACATGCAGTGGATTCCTGTGTGGCTCGGGAAATAGTCTAAAAAAGAAAAAGAAAATAAAAGCTATAAAGAAAGTGCTCCTCCCAAGATGGGGCTCTGGATCCACTTATGTTGCATTGTGAAAGTTGGAGTCATCAGCTGCTGGAGTACAATTGCATAGAGATTTGGGATAGTGTGCAGGTAAAAAAATTTTGTTGCTTTTGTCTTATCACTCAGTCTATTCTGAGGTTAAAAAGGTAATACATAACTTTATAGCACAAACCAACATTTTTTATGATAACAAAAACACAGCCCTTCCTATGAAACTGTTCCTACATGGGTCACTATTCCCATCAGCCTAGCCGCCAAACTAACATATTAGGCTGGACACACCTGAACACTCATACATTGTGCACTGCTGAGACCATTTCAAGGAATACTCTGAGTACCAATACAATATAAATTTATATTACTTATACACCAATACAAATCTTTATAGTTTTTGCACACAAAAAAAAAATGCTGCACCATAAGCCGGCCTCTTTAGCCACGCCCCCTCACTCCAGAAAAAGGCTTCCTTATGAAATGTACGTACACAGCTCAGTCACTGACTTCAGATCTGAACTACAAAACAACCTGCGTTAGAAGGAGAGGACACCCAGGGAGACATATAGTAAGGATATCACTACCGGTTTGTAGTTTCTCTGACTGTCTGCAGCCAGGTTGTGAATTAAAAACCGCTCAACTCAGTTCTGTTGGGGCTGAGCTGTGTGCATACTTTTGATAAGGCAGGCTTATTATTCATTTATTTTGCAAAAAAACATTAATATTTGAGCATGCAAACAGAACACAGCATATCAATGAGACCAAAACCCAAAATGCTATTACCCATATCTGTACATGTACTTTTTTGGCTTAAGAAATATTTATTTTTCCCTTTTATCACTCATCACACAGTCATATTAACCTGGGCAAACCGTGATTATGGTAGCATCAATATAATATAATATAAACCAGGCTTTACAGAATTTACTGTAAGTTCTGTGTAATTTCCTCAATGTCCTGTTCATTACACAGATTTGAAGTAAAGTGAGAGGAACCAATTTGTCATCCTGCCAGGTAGCCTCATTAAATTCGCACACAGGTTATTTAGATCTCCACACTACCCCTTTACTTACAATACTCTTCAAAGCCAATTGCCTATGGAGCTATGAAAACCAGAAAGAGAGAGGTCTTCAGTGTAACATTACGAGCAAAGCGCGTTTGAAACCAAAATAGAAAAGCATTAGTTTGTTCCACTGTCCATGTCATTCGGATAAATATGTGTCATTTTACTAGTCTACAATGCAGGTCACCTGGTATAACCTCACATGCGGAGTAAAATGATTAGGTAATAAAGGGAAGCAGGAATTCTCCACTATACTGTAAAAATATATATATATACACACACACACACACACAAACTCTTGCTTTTTCCTGCTACATCTGGAAGCAATTACGAATACTATATATAATTATAAAAGAGATCCACGATTATATATACATTACTGAAATTGGATTTTTTTTTTTCATTCTGAAATCATTTTAATATAGCACAGCATGGATGTAGGTTTTCCAGAAACAGATTAAACTAGATTGTGTGATTTACTCAAAGGCTCCGCGCTTTTTCCATTTGAAAGAAAATTTTGTTTCAAAAGACGAGAGAATACACAGGCAGCTGTGAGGAATAAGGACATAATTAAAAACATTTGTTTTGTTTGTTTTAAGGGGGGGTGTAGGGGTATTTCTACAAAGAATTCCAAGTGTCTGTTACTATTTGAAATTTACAACCCAAAGTTTGTTCGTAAGTTAGAATAGTTACATTTCAAACATACAGTCAGCTCAATTGTAACCTGCTCATTAACAAGACTGTACAAGGGGCCGATATCTCACCCATACAGAAGAAAGAATATTCGATCCAGAGCAAATTAAAGAGTTTTTACGCTAAGGACAATCAAGATAGAAAACTATATGCCTAAAATTGTTGTTTTATCAGATTGTGAAGAAGATCTTTTCTTTAAAAAAAAAAGTCTTTATTCTTGGATATAATAGTTACTATGTAGGGTAACAACATGTTGGTCCCCGGAGGAATCTGAATGCTATTTTTGAGCCAAGATCAAACTATAAACTAATAGAAATATTGATTTGATTGCGGACAGAAAACAGACTTATGTTAATTTCCTAATACCTTAATTAATAATAATTCATCTGTACAACTGTAACTTCTTCTACTCCAATACTGTTTCTTGTAGTATTGTAGTATGCGGAACGGTGGGGCTAAGAAGAATGATATAGTGATGCGGTACAGCAATCACATGAATGATTATTTTAATATTATTTTAATATGCATATACTGCTTAGATTCCAGTCACCGCTAATGTGGAAATATCGCATGCTTACTATTTAAATGATCAATTTTAATAAAGTTGAATACTTTTATTAAGGATAAAGTATTGCTTCATTAAAACTAATGCTAAACTAAAGGAAAAAAAATAATAATAAGATTAAATTAACCCCAGGATAGACTATTGTTTTTTTCAATTGCGTTGTGCTGGCAGATTGGAATCACATAATGCAAAAACTTCAAACATGTCACTAGGGTCAAAAAATTAAACATTTAACAAAAAGACATTTCAGCAACTGTCCCGCAAAGAGATAATTAAGTTTCTTAAGATCAATATGACCTTTTGTAAAATCCTTAAGTTCTCCATTGTATCCCTGAATCTATGCTTACAAGTTGTTTTTTTTATTTTTTATCTACTTTTACAGCAGTCTTAGCACCAAACTGTGTTAACTGTCCTGGCCCCATCCCCGGTTAAATAATAACATTTAGGAATGGTTTGATATAAACCAAGAGATCTTTCCAGACTGCCCCCAGTTCTGCCAAATCGATAATGCAGAATTAACACATCCCATTATCGTCTTCCATGTAATCCACACTGGATGGGTCAGCCCTGCTCTCTCAAACCATCCAGGGTGTCCAGGTTACAGGGGGACAGTGTCGGAATAGTCACATCAACATAACCCTACAATGATACGTTATGTCCGATTTGGCTGTACTTTTATATTTAGAATGATTTTTTCGGTAAAGTGCCCTGATACCTACAATAAATTAAGCTGTCCATTTGTCCTCATACATCGGGTGTTCATACAAGTAAAGAATGTCAGAGAAACTCTCCAACCCATTAGACAAAGCTGATTTAATCACAAACTCCCAAAGTCTCTGCCGGCCTTGTAGCCGGTACCTAGAAACCTGACGCAGTCTCAGTGCAGCTGCAGAGGGAACAGGTGTTCACCAAAAACATGGGACAGAGCTCAAAGCCGCAATAACACCATATCGCTACAAAAGGTTCTAGTGGTTGTGGTGTTTAGACCGCCTCTTATACATACTGATCAGTGGGGTGTTTTACCATTTTTATTTTAGTTAGGTACCTATGGTATTTTATAAAATATCTATAGATAGGATGGGTTTGTCCTACCTGGGCATGTTAGCTATGTGTTAAGTATTCCAACTGCTGGTTTAAGTAGGGGCCTCAACTGCTTCTGTTCCTGTACGTCCATCTTGGGCTTGTTGAAACTACCTGTTTGTTAGTCCAACTATTGTACAGGGTTACAAAATGTGTTGGCTCTTTATAAATAATAATATTAATAATAATAATACATGGTTGGCTTTTTATCTCTTAGAACGGTGTACTAAAAGGGTTACATATGCAATACAAGTAAGTAGTGTCTACATAAAAATAAATATATTAAGATGTCAATGATCTCATTTTTAAAAAATTAATTATAATGAAGAAAGTTCCGCACAGAGAAAAACACAGGAGAGATGATGGAAATGTATTCTACATCTGGGGATAAAGTACGATCTGTGCTTACTGTAATTTGTCATTTACAGTCAATCCTGAAATGTGAGATAGCATGTCACAGCTTCAAAGTGAGCAGCATTTAAGCCCAATACATTTCACTACGCCAGCAACAGTTTAATTTCTTTGACAATAGGAAAGCAGATAAACAATATTGCTGCTCTTGTCATTATTCTAAACCGTGTAGGAAAACACCCTTTTCTGTAAGCTGTAATAGGGGCAGCAGCTGCTATTTGCGAAATCACGAGGGGTGGGGGATGACTGGCAGAGGGGCAGGTGCCAAATTTGTGTCTCTAACACACAAGGTTTGGTGCTGCAGCCTTACAGGACAATTCTACTGCTGATTAAAAGCCACAAAAGGCACTTTGGGATTTCTGTTGGCAAGTAGTGCAGTAAATGGCATGAAGTAGGAATTGTGGAGGCCTTTGTTGCCACAGCACAGTGTGGGTTTGAGGGTAAGGGGGGCAGCATTTCATCCTTTGATCCAGGCAGCACAAAATAGTAAGTTTAACATTATAAGGTCAGGAATGCACGCTTGTGTTTTTGACCCTATAGTGTTCCTTTAATTCAAAGTGAATTTTAAATTTAAAACCAAATAGTGAAATCGGAAATATTTAAAAGTTAGTTAGTTTTCCACTTGGATATTTTGGCCTGCAACTTGAAATTCACTTTGAATTCACGACTGCGCATACCGTAGTTAATAACCCTAAATATGCTGCCTATCTATGAATTCATGGTGTGTTTCTTAAGGGTTAAAGGACTCAGCAAGCAAAGGTTTGTCAGTTTCATCAATAGCGAATCATTCAAATATTCTCAAATCCAGGAATCTGTCTATTTTTCGGCTGGTTCCAACAAAATCCAAGACTGAGAGCATGTGTTTGTGAAAGCAGGCAAAATATGATATATATATATATATATAAAATTTAAATTTCAGCTATTAGTTGATTTACCTTAATAATTATATAAATAATAACATGTAATTTGCTAAAAATAATATTTAACTATCCCCAGATCTATAAAAACAGGAGTATTAATAAACCTGACATGAAAAATTTCATTTCATGTTTATTAATTTGGTGCAATTAAGCTTTACTAACTGTATGTTAAAATATCTGTAAGCACACGTGTAATATAACATTTAAACAATATATATTAATATGTTTTTTTTGTTTTTTAGAATCAGCACTCTTGTTGCTTGAAAAGGGGAGCAGACTATATAAATGTGATGTATTTATACATTTAAAAAAGGAATATTTAATAATGATTATTTAATATGCAAGTTAATATGCAGGGCTACTGAATAATAAATCAGAGGTTTCAGATTGCATTAGAATCTACAGAAGTGAAAGTCCTTTCTCTGAGCTGTATGTTCTGGAGGAACAAAAGCTGCCTCGTGTGGCTCACATAAAACATTGCAGCTTGGACATTATAAACAAAAAGAAAATATACAATGTTACACAAAAGCAAATAACCTCCCTTTCTGATGGGAAGGAGAGTATTTGAACAATAAACGTAACAAACCTCAAATAAATCCATCTATACAGCACAGCAGCCGATATAAAAGCAAATGCATAGATTTAAAGGATTACTCCTACCAAAAAAACGTGTTTTCATAATACACTGGTTTTGGTTGTAGTAACCTTTTCTGTAGTGGCCTGCCCCCCAACCCCAACGCCATTGGCGGTCTGACACACATTTGAACCAATTTATTCTGGGCTAGCTAACAATACTGCTAAAGGTGGAGTTACATCATCAGCAGTTAAGGCGTTAATCTGGGTATGCACAATGTTTCAATGCAACACACAGACTCCAGACACCATAACCACTTTAAATCAATGCTTCGAGTAGACCTTTAATTTTATTCTGTTTTCCCACCGCTATTCCATACTGGGTAAAGACTACATAATATGGTATTCGCACGATGGCTGTGCATGTGACTTAATTTGTCTCTATGAAGTGTGAGACCATCCTAAAAGTCTGGGGGCATCTGTTTGTGGTACACATCGCGACGGAGCATCCAATGGTCAAGTCAATATTCTTGGATAAGTTTATCAGATAAATGTAATATTTTCAGATACGTGTTTTAAAATGATTTTTAGCAAAATATATTTTTTTTCAAAAATATATCATGTATATAAAAAAAATCAATATATCACAAAATAACAAAACATTAAAACATTTTACAATGTACTAAATTCTTTTAAACGTTTATCCAAAAATATTCAAATTGGACACTTTATACTTTAAACGCTGGTGGCTCTCTCATTAATAAAATAGAGATCACGTGTATATTTATCTGAAGGTTACCTTGTCATCCTCCTGTCTAGTGGATGATGGGTACACATAAAACAATGCACCTGAGTTAACAATTTGAATCTAAATGGCTGGCCACTGATTTAGCTGAAGTGAGGTTACTATAGTGAAAAGGTGGACAATCAGGACGCACGCAGCATGTCTAACACACAATTACTGTGGCATGGACTTAATATGACAATTCCTCCAGCTATGTGGATGTTCCCGGAAGACTCCCAGGGATGATGACAGTACTCCACACCTATCAGTGAGAAATCATGATAAATAAAGTAATTATTTGCATGAGTTCACTAGGGCCGCTTGCTGTAAAGCTGGCTGGGAGATGGAATGTTTGAGAGTTCTGAGATTAGAACACACGCAGGTAGTTTTTGCTTCACAAACATACATTTAGTGCTTTTGCTCGATGAGCAATGAATTGATCCTCAAAGCGTTACTAATGAACAGAGTAAAATATTTCCCCAATCTCACTAAAAGAAGGCTGCAGGGTTTATAGCTGTGCAGTATTAGGAAAGGAAAATAAATAATAAGACCTTTCTTCCAGGACTCGGAGGGTTAATGTTTCTCTCTGTTGTAAGAGTCTGATTGCTATCTGTGATTTTAACTGAAAATCAGATACGGCTCCCATGGAACATTACAGGACCACTAAAGTCATCCAGGACATTTCATCTCAATGCAGTGGTTTGGGTACAGTGGTCCCTCAATTTAACCATTCAATAGAAAACACTGCCATTTTGCAGAAACAGCAATGTTTACATTGAATAGTTAAACATCTCCAATGGCTGTTACTCTAACGATAACTAATCCACTGCAGGCGCTTCCGATGCAACGGGCAAGTAAAAACTCTGTCACATGATGCATACCCCCAACATTTCATTCATTGCTTTCCTAGGGGATGCCTGCATGCATGCATGGCACTCACAGCACATGCATATTAGGTCCCCAATGCTTTTCATATGAGGAGTAATGTATTGAACCACACCGTAGGAGGCCACAGGAAGAGGAGAGGTGAGCAGCGCTGATGGAGACTCTGCCCTGGAAGAAGATAAGTAAATCCTTTATTTTATTATTTTTATGGCACACACTGAATGGCACAATAACTGAGAACATGGACACCAAAGCATTAGAAGAACAGGTTTGTATTCATAACTCTTTAGTGTTCCCTTAAAGAAATCTCTCTATAAACGAGATGCTTCCTGTGCTGAGCAGGATGACACCACATTCTCTGTATTGAAAGTATACATTAAGGAAGATATGCAAATGATTGCTGCAAAAATGCATGCAGAAAAATTGTAATTAATATAACAAATATGTGCACAGTGTGGAAGATAATCAATACGAAGCTCTATACACCTCAAAGTGGTGTGCCCTTTACCACTTTAAAATCAACAATATACATACATTAATTCTGTAAAATAGAATATAGACCATAGTGTAATACAATAATATGAAAAAAATTAAAGGAATATATGCAGTAGGTATATGGCTAACTCAAGACAAGGTGCTCTATCAACTAAAGAAGGTAAATAGTTAATATAAACAAATCTCCAGGGCCTGACGGTATTCATCCACGAATACTTAAGGAACTAAGTGTGGAAATAAATGAACCTCTATTTTTAATCTTTCAGTATTCTTTTCTTACAGGAAGTGTTCTGAAGGATTGGAGGAAGGCAGATGTGGTTCCTATATTCAAAAAGGGTTCAAAATCCATTCCTGGAAATTATAGACCTGAGCGCTTACCTTCTGTGGTTGGGAAAGTATTTGAAAAGTTATTAAGGGATAATATTCAAGAATTCCTTGAGAAGAACATAGTTATCAGCATAGTTTTATGAAGCACAGGTCATGTCAAACTAACTTGATTGCGTTCTACAAAGAAGTATGTAGAAGTATAGATCAGGGTGTTGCAGTGGATGTAATCTATTTGGATTTTGCCAAGGCATTTGATACGGTTCCTCACAATAGATTCTTGTTCCTGGGTAGAACATTGGCTTAAAAATAGAGTACAACAGGTTGTCATTAATGGTATATTTTCAAGCTGGACAGAGGTGGCAAGTGGTGTCCCTCAGTGTTCTGTTCTGGGACCATTTCTATTTAACATGTTTATAAATGATCTTGAAAAAAGCATTGAAAGTCGTGTTTCAGTGTTTGCAGATGACACAAAACTCTGTAAAGTAATACAATGGGAGCAAGATATTACTTTGCTGCGGAAGGATTTAGATAGACTGGGGGACTGGGCACTCAAATTGAAGATGAAATTTAATGTAGAAAAATGCAAAGTTATGCACTTTGGCATCAAGAATGCACAAGCAACTTATACCCTTAATGGAAGCGAATTAGAGATAATCACACACAAGAAGGACTTGGGATCTATGCAGTTGGAAAACTATGCATCAAGGTGCAATGTCAATCAGCAGTGGCTTAGGCCAGTAAGGTATTGTCATGCATGAAAAGGGGCATTCATTCTCAGGATGAGAATATAATTTTGCCTCTTTATAAATCGCTGGTAAGACCATATCTTGAATATGCTGTGCAATTTTGGGAACCTGTTCTAAAGAAGGATATTATGGCACTAGAAAGAGTGCAGAGGAGAGCTACAAAATTAATAAAAGCAATGGAATATTTTACCTTTATATTTAACCCTCTTTAGTCTAAAAAAATATCGCTTCAGAGGGGATGTGATAACATTACACAAATATATTCGTGCATAAACTATATACACACACTGCATTCACTACACAAACACAAACACTCTGCATTCATTATATACACACTACAAAAACACACACTGCATTCACTATACACACTACACTGCATTCATTATACACACTACACAAACACACACACTGCATCCACTACACAAACACACACTGCATTCACTAATCAAATACTCTCGCTGCATCCACTACACAAACACACACACTGCATTCACTAATCAAATACTCTCACTGCACCCACTACACACACATATATTCTTGAAAACAAACAATTCTGACCGGCATGTATATTTTGTGCATTTACCTTAATAAAAAAAAAAGATTAGCAAAAAATAAATAAATAATAAACATGTTCAGTTAACAGTAGATTTGTGTAGAAATAATTTATTTTTTCAAAACGGTAAATGTACAGAATATCGGTATCGGTAAGTTATCGGCTATCCGCCTGAAAGTTCACAGATTATCAGTATCGGTATTGGCTCCAGAAAAAAACAATATCAGTAGATCCCTAATACTTGCAAAACAGAATATTCAAGGATATAATTTTTCAATGTAGGCAAAATGCGTCTTGCTCCAAGGATTAATCTGACTGCCATTCTGGGGTCAAGAGGGATTTTTTTTCCTAGTTTGTTGCAAAATTGAAAGTGCTTCAAACTGGGGTTTTTTTTTGTTTTTTTTTGCCTTCTTTTGGATCAACAGCAAAAAAACTAATATGAGGAAGGCTGAACTTGATGGACACCCGTCTCTTTTCAGCCTATGTAACTATATGTAACTATATGAAAGGCAAGCGGAAGCAGAACACTAAAGAACACATGGATGCTCACAGATACACTGTCTCCAAACATTTCCACTGAACTGATCACAATGTCAACGCAAATTAAAGGAGCAGTCTATTCACTGACATGACACATGCCAAAAATATGCGTGCAATAATAAACAGCTCATCTAAATACTTGCACATCATTTATTTATTTAGAAAGTGCTTACCAAGAAGAGTACACTCTTTCTTGTTTCTTTTTTTTTAAATATCTTCTGCATTTATTAAGAAATAATATCACAAAAATAAATTGACAAACACTCAAACAATGCACTCTTCCATTATTAAATCACTGCTGAGTGAGCCAAGTACCATACACTACACACAGTGCAAATGAGAAAAATTCAAGCAAGTATTAAGTTTTTACTCCAACCCAAAAAACTGGGGGGCTGTGCCACCATTGTCTGTCTGGCACCACCGCACTGTACATGTTGGCTGCAGACCCTAGTTTTGTACAGAATTAATATTAGCCAACCTGGGACTTCTGTTCCTTACTAGCTAATGGCACCAAATGATACTGCCGGAGGTGTAGTTACCTGCAATTTGCCATTTAAATAAAAGATTGTGTCATTTTTAGAATTTAATTAATAAATCTGATCTGACCACAAAAAGCATAGACCAATAAAAACGTCCTATAATATATCTGGTTATAGCGTTTTAAAGCGCTCCTGCTGAAATATCGCTAATTCATATCGCTAAGCCTCTTTCTTTGTGTGAGCGTGGCTCAGTAAAATGTTCGTTTGATTACACATTCTGCCGTGTTGCAATAATATCAACATGAGTAATTATAGTAATTACAAGATTAATTGTAAGTTTCTCAGATGGCTGATCATCGCTTTAACCTTCCGATAAATGAAATACCTTTCCGATCCCATCTTTAAACTGCCATCATTTCTCTATACCTGCCAAACACCAGCCTAATTTTAATTTATTTCCACCGCAAGTAACAACAAACACAATAAAAGGCCCAGAAACGTCAAGGGGTATTTGTTCAGAATCAGGTCCTGCATTGGCAGAAGACCTGAGATGTCACACAAACTGAAATAATTACTATAAAGAGAAATCCCAGCGTGACTTTTACCGATATATTTTACAGAAATTATTCAAATTATACATTTATAAAAAAGAAATTGGAAAACAAAAAAAACAATAGAAAGCAGATAACTTTCTGTAACTGTTTCTCATTTGCACATTTTCAAAATACTCTGATCCACATTTTTTACTATAAAGATGAGCCACAATTACACAGAGTGCACCAAAATGTGATGTTACAACCCAGGACACTCCATTTATAATACAGAGTCAAGGAAATTGTATGTGAACTGACAGATGCAAAGATCTCCTACTCCCCAGCCAAATCATCAGGAATGGAACTACAGACCCCTCTTGCACCCTGCAAGGAAAGAATGTCACCACCCTCCACTCCCATCCGTTACTTTTAGTGATGGATACATGTCCATGACTTAAATGGACACTGTAGGCACCCAGACCACGTCAGCTGATTGACGTGATCTGGGGGCAATGTCCCAGTCCCCCGATTATATAGTAAAATTATTGTGGTTCCAGATAAACTGCAATAAGTACATTGCAGGACTAAGTTTGCATCTAGTGGATGTCAATCGTTTCCACTTACAAACATTCCAGCTCTTCCTAAATTTACTATTTAGGGATTTAACCAAATTTGTATAAAAATATGAATCAGACTACATTAAATATTAATTAGTGTCAAAAGCAATTAAAATCACTATTTATTATTTTTTAGCTATTAAATGCAGATGTGTTAAGTTTTTGTTTGTAGGGTGAGTGTCATTCATTATATATCAGATCCTGCTGGTAAATTACTCTGCATTGTGTCCCATTTTAAAGTCAATGATTTACTAAACGTGGATTACGTTACTATGTTGTCCTTTACAGAAGGCTCTGTATGGTTCAAGGACATTTGGCTGCCATCGCTGAAGTCAGCTTTTTATAATTTGACTGTTTGGCTGTAAGTTACACAGCAGAGAATCACATTACAAATCCAAAGCCATTATCAGGAAGAGAAGCCCATCATGTCTAATCACTCTTTTTGTTACAAAAAATAAAATAAAACAAATTTAAAAACTGTAAAAGCTCCCCAACAAGGAAGGAATGCAAATACTGATTAATAAATAGTTAGCATTACAATGTGGTACTTAGCTGCATTGCTCTTTTCAAGGTAACTAGAGCACAGTTAATGTGGCTAAGTATATAGTTTCACACATTATTTAGATGACACTAAATGGAGTTCCGTTTTCTGCTTACACCATGAAATGGATAAAAAGAAAGGACATTTCTTTCAGGCTTCATAGACGAATCTCAGTTTCGTTGCTGGCTTTAGATCACATGGCCCAAACGTCAATATCATATATCAATATTTCAGATCATTGAACTAAGGCAGTACAAACATTTCCTTTACACGTTATTTATATATCCTTCTATCAGCTTTAACCATTTCCCAATAACAGCAAGTCTTCCGAACTGGATTCTGGGTGTCACCTTTACAAATAATTATTAATATTAGCAAAATATTCTATTACAATACAGAACATTGAGATAACAGGTATAAATGGTACTGGTAAAATATTTAAAGAACTGATCGAAAGAGTGACAGCTATCATATTTAACTACTATAAAAATGTTGGTAAAAAGCCTCAAGTTAAAAAAAAGCATTTCCAATGTGATGTAATTCTTAATTCATTATTCTTTTGAATACCATCTTTATCAAGTTAATTATATTACCAATCAAAAACTAATTTGCTTCTCTGTAGCCTGAGAGGGTAATATTGCATGTGATATATTGGAGATGATGATTATATTAAAGTGTCATACATTGCTGCAGTTTGTCTGCATTAGAAGGTATGTACTAACCTATCAGCCTCGCTCACTCGGGGTGGCCAATCCTAGGGTGATGCACCGAATCCTCACTTTAGAGCAGAAGATGATGTACCCTCCCATCTGCAGCAAGCCTACAAATTCCTTGATGCTTTACCAATATTGGGGTCTACCTATTGACCATTCCATGCCAAATAAATCCGAGCCATTTTAAAGAAATAGCCGTGAATATATACACAAACCTTCAAATGTGGCGCCGTTGTCCAAAGAACTTAGTTCTTTATGGATATTTCTAGTTAGGGATAATTTATGGCTGTGTTTTCTAATTTGCATATTATGTATTAATTTTATATCAGAGTCTGTGAATAAACAATGTCAGGTTATTGTCTATTGGTATTACAAATTTACTTTCCCAACACTGTCCTTTAACAATCATAACAAATCTCAGTCTATTCACACCATATAACATACTCTAAACAATTAAAGAGGAGAGCACAAACAAAAAGCTATGACAAACAATCAGAGAAAAGAGAAAAAAAAAACAAGTGTAATAATACACAAGTACAATTATGCATTTTAGAAAAGTCATGGCTGGTTCCAGGGTCAAAACAAGTCAAATAGGTGGAAGAGGAGGCCTTCCACTAAAGACCAGCAAAGAATACCAGGTGGTAAATTATTAGAAAGTTCTATATATAAGGTCTTTTGTTGGGAATCCTGAGACTGAACACAGGACTCCCAATATTTTAAAAAACAAAACAAGAAGAAAAAAACAGGGAATACTACATACCTCAGTTCAGGAGTACTCAATCAATATGGTGGGTCTATCTGGTAAACTCCAGATACGAAGGATTGTCTCTGACAGAAGCTAGAACCAACTGCATAAATCTATTTTTATGGACAATTCTAGAAAAGATACCAAACATGGACAGCTCCAGGGGCAGTGGAACTGAGCACTGCAAGAGAGATTCAATACAAGTTTGAATATCTTTCCAAAATTCCCTTATCTTAGAACAATCCCAAAACCCAGGCTTTTGACAGTGTTGCACATAGAAGGCTTATCAATAAACTGCAATCTTTAAGTTTGGATTCCAATATTGTTGAATGGGTAAGGCAGTGGCTGAGTGACAGGCAACAGAGGGTTGTAGTTAATGGAATATATTCGAAGCTTGGACTTGTCCCCAGTGGGGTACCTCAGGGATCTGTACTTGGACCCATTCTCTTTAATATTTTTATTAGTAATATTGCAGGAGGTCTTGATGGTAAGGTATGACTTTTTGCTGATGATACTAAGATATGTAACAGGGTTGGTGTTCCAGGAGGGATAAGTCAAATGGCAAATGATTTAGGTAAACTAGAAAAATTGTCAGAATTGTGGCAACTGACATATAATGTGGATAAGTGCAAGATAATGCATCTTGGACATAAAAAACATAAAGGACAGAGTACAGAATATTTGAGACAGTCCTAACCTCAACATATGAGGAAAGGGATTTAGGGGTGATTATTTCCGATGACTTAAAGGTAGGCAGACAATGTAATAGAGCAGCAGGAAATGCTAGCAGAATGCTTGGTTGTATAGGGAGAGGTATTAGCAGTAGAAAGAGGGAAGTGCTCATGCTATTGTACAGAACACTGGTGAGACCTCACTTGGAGTATTGTACACAGTACTGGAGACCGTATCTTCAGAAGGATATTGATACCTTAGAGAGGGTTCAGAGAAGGGCTACTAAACTGGTTCATGGATTGCGGGATAAAACTTACCAGGAAAGGTTAAAGGATCTTAACATGTATAGCTTGGAGGAAAGACGAGACAGGGGGGATATGATAGAAACATTTAAATATATAAAGGGAATCAACACAGTAAAGGAGGAGACTATATTTAAAAGAAGAAAAACTACCACAACAAGAGGACATAGTCTTAAATTAGAGGAACAAAGGTTTAAAAATAATATCAGGAAGTATTACTTTACTGAGAGGGTAGTTGATGCATGGAATAGCCTTCCAGCTGAAGTGGTAGAGGTTAACACAGTAAAGGAGTTTAATCATGCGTGGGATAGGCATAAGGCTATCCTAACTATAAGATAAGGCCAGGGACTAATGAAAGTATTTAGAAAATTGGGCAGACTAGATGGACCGAATGGTTCTTATCTGCCGTCACATTCTATGTTTCTATGAAATAAGCCAGCCTTCTCCTTACTACATTTCAAGCATTTAGAAGTGTCAGTCAGGTTTGGTGGATACTGGGAGTCGGGAGCCAAATAGGCATATAATGAATTCCATGGAAGCATCTCTTGGTACAAAGGAACCAGAAGAAGCTTAAATTATTTGTTTGTGGCAATGAGAATATCTTCAGTGGTAAGTGAGGGGAGTGAAGTTGTCCATTTGTGAACACATATGGTTGGTATAGAATTAACTAATACAATTCGAATACAACCATAATTGTAAATTAATAGAATGGTGGGGATGAGAAGGTTTCCAAATAACAAAGTCTATTGAGTGAGTTCAGTCATTGTCTTGTATGTGATGTAAACTGTGTGGATATAGTCCCAAGTTCGTAAATCAGCGAAAAAGGGAACATGAAGTCAATAGAACTTGTCCCATAGCTGTGGGAAAGTAAAAATTCTATGATTATGAGAGTCTAAACAATTATCAATGCAGGAAAGGGAACTCTAGGTTTGAAGAATGTGGGTGGGAAAGATTTCGTAGAAAAATACAGATTAGAGAGGAATCTAGATATGGCAAGCTAAGGTCAAGTTGGATTCTTGTACAATTAAAGTTTTTTTTGTTTGTTTTGCTTAAAAGCCAAAAACTTTGTACATATTTGACTCTTTATTGGTATCCTTATATTTTATATAAACTATTTTTGAAGCTCTATAACATATGGTACCGTAGATGGAACATACTCTGCCATAATTATGCAACATAAATGTCACCCATCTTCGGTTTGAGAGAGACCAGGACATTGGTAATGGACCAGTTTCAAACTGGTTAACCTTTGCTATAGAAAACAGACAGATTTAGCGGTTATAGGGTATAGAGTTATGTGTACAGCATTCTGCATATTAAACACCTCTTTTTAGAACCATAAGGTTCCACAAACTGGAAAGAAAACAAGGAGTAATATCATCCAAGAATCACAGGTGTTGCCTCCGTGACATGACTAGAGGGGCCAATTAGTCCTTCTATCAAAATCATTCATTTATTATATGTGCGAAAATGTGTCAGCCGTACATGGTCTGACTGCATGGTGGAATTAACTTCTATTTTTGGATTCTGGGTTAATGGATTATTTGCCTCCTAGCTGCGCCCAGGCTACTCACAACATCTGTACAGACATTAGAATAGCAAAAGCCAGAACTTCAATTCCCATGCAGTATAAGCGGGTAAGTGGGCACCAATGATAAATGGTGTAAATAGTTGGATAATGACTTTAGAGACTGAACAAACTGATCTGGCAACATGTTATCCTATTTTTTTTTTTTGAGATTTCCACATGGAATAACTGGGGCACTATGCAATAACTGATCTGCTTAGATCTTCTGTGATACAAAATATGTAGGAACAAAACTGCCAAAATAAAAAATGGCAAATCCCCATTCACATCAAACCATACTACACTTCCCTTATGTGAATACCAACCGTTGGTGTTTTGGCCTGGTCAGGGTTTTGTTAAAAATGACAAAGATTTTACAAGAAAGTTGCTGCTGGTATTAAGACATTAAGGGACTGACATTGACTTGTACAAGTGTCCTAATACACCGGATGTGACATTCACAAGTGTGCCAATACACTGGACGTGACATTCACAAGTGTGCCAATACACCAGACGTAACATTCACAAGTGTCCAATACATGGGACGTGACATTCACGAGTGTGCCAACACATGGGACGTGACATTCACGAGTGTGCCAATGCATGGGACGTGACATTCACGAGTGTGCCAGTACATGGGACATGACCTTCACGAGTGCTAATACACCGGAAGTAAAACTGGGAACTGACATAATAAGACTATGTTGGGGGATCTTGAAAATGTGTATTTGGGTATCTAGGCTGCAGTACCAGTCATGGTGAATGGTCACAGTTTGATACATGTAACTGGCACCAACATATGGCTCTAGTGATCGACATGGGATCTTTTACAATGGTTTGATCTTGTACTTTGACTTGATTCCTTCAATCCCAGACATCAGCTGTCATTCTGATTGATTTAGTCCCAGGCAGCCTCACCATGTCGGTGTGTCAAGTATAATATACCTCCAACATGCAAACCTTGGGCAAACTGTATCAGAAACGTATTACTTGTTCTTACAGGGTCGGCTAAACGTTATAGATAGATAGTCTGAAAACAAATGGAGATGAGTCAAAGGACCAAGCCGAGGTCAGGGAGCAAAGAAACACAGAATCAGAGAAGAAGCCAGAGGCAGCAATATAGAGATCTGGGACAATGATATTCCAGGACATACTTGAAAACGAGATAAATCTCAATGTATCCTTCTGGGTAAAATATTTTATAAATAAACAATGAACAAGCCAAGCTGGTAACCAAAAGAACAATCAGAATTAATAAACACACTCGAGCAACAGAGACCATGACAGGGCAATAAAAAAAAAAGAGGAGTGGCTTTAAATGGGCATGACTTGCAATATGGAAAGGATACGGAAAGCTGTGGCTCAAAAGAATAACACAGGCTGCACGGAGTAAAAAAATAAAAAACGACAAGGAAAACGTGGTCTGCATCTAAACAATGCGAGAATGAAGCATGGCATCAATTTGTGTTCGGCAGAGGCCTGAAGGGGCAGAAGCCATGACACTGTGACTATAAATTCTTCATTCCCAGACAGCCTCGATTTGTCTGTATCCAGATTTAACCATTCATTCCCAGACAGCCTTAATGTGTTATCTAAATTAATTTCCTATCATAGCAATGACGGCACATGGTTTTATCAACAAATCATTTCTCTCCTGATAGGTAGCACAGGAAATAAATACATTTTCCACATTCTTGTGTTCTCTGTTTTAACATTCTGATTTGCCAATTTGTCATGGAAGATTTTATTATTCAATCCACTGGACACTTCTATCATCAAGAAGAGAAGACATTATTTATCATTGATAAATGGCATCATGTAAAAACGTAGCAATGGATACGAGCATTAAATTTACTGTGCCACGTAGCCAAAAAGACTAAATACTGCCTTTCGGTCTGCGACCTGCAGCCTGCGTTCTCCTCTGGGAAGATATTGACAGCTGAACGATGGCTTTATGTCTGTGGTAAAGTAAATAGCTCACAGAGATCATAAAACAAAGAAAAACTCATCTGATTGCAGCCTTGGAGGTAAATTGCTCGATAAACATCTATACTAGTTACATATATTCAAGATTTCTATGGTTTTAAATACTTGTATTTATCCCCAGACCACAATTTATCATCAACTTCATTAGAAATAGAACTACTGAGAGGCAAAATAAAAAAATTAAAAAACAGCCTTCCTGCGTCTGAATATTTTTTATTATTAACGTGCCGACGCATTCCACAGAGATTTACAATATTGCAGGTTTTTTTTAATCTTTACTTTGGTTGCACTTAGATACAATTCCACTTCAAAATCTATTCAAACTATGTTTATCTCTGAAATATTTTAACTGTGGAAAATTTAGCAGTAAAAGTACAACTTCACAGCTTTACAATTACATTTGGTATTTGGATTATATTTGGATTTTATTAAAAATCTGCTGCTGAGCCGGGGGTTCTAATTAACACAAGCCCCAAAAGTCTTTTTTTTTTTTTAACATACAACATACATTTGCCGCTACGAGAACATAAAAATGTGTCTAGCAATTTGCATTTGTCATAATGACTGCTTACTTCACCTTTGAGAAAAACAGATTATTGCTTCAGTGAAGTGAGGCGATGTACGTTGCAAGCAATGTAAAGGGCCCAGATCTGTTAAATAATTTGTGAAAACAAAGACTGATTTGTTTACCATTTTTCCTTTCGTTTGGCAGCAGGCTCATTCTTGCAGAAAATTGCCCGACTACAAGGTGACTTTGAAAAGATAAAGTCATTACAATGAAATTTTACGCTTCTCAAAATTGGTTTATTATTATTCAAATTTAAATCAGTGGGATATCGTATAAATACCTGATGTTTTGACATACACGAACGATGTATGTAAGTGCAGGGCTGCCTATTAAATATTCCTTTTTATTGCCACTGTTAGATATCACAGAATGACCGAATACATGTTGAATGTAAGGATTCGTTCGAGATATCCCACTAGTTCCGTGGAGATTTTAATGCAACGTCATTTACGTCATTTAAACAGTAGTGACATTTTGAAAACCCATGCAGTTGTTTTTCGTTATTAACAATGGATGAGATTTGTCAAATTGTTAGAGACAATTTTATTGTAATTTTCAGCAATTTTTTGGTGTAATTTATTAAATCTGTCAAAAAAAAGATTTCTGCTGCTTTTTTTGTGTGCACAAACAGTCAATATTGAATATACTCAATGCAACGGAGATATACATTTTTCCTTCCCCTTTTTCAAAAGAAAAGTGTCCTCTTTTTCCACCATTGTAAATTCAGCTGGCCTCTTCAAGTTCTGAGTTGAACTAATATGCATATGCCCACCCAGAATCCCTTGAAGTAGTAACATCGCTGCAACTTTGAGAGTTCTGTGTAAAAAGCAAGACATTTCTTTTCTGGTGTGTACAGATCTGTGTTTAACAATGTATTGACTCTCTCTCTTTCTAAATTTTCTTTTTAATGTAAAATCCATTGTTGCTACTGGCAAAGATATATGTGCAGTATTTGCATTTGCAACTCTTCTTCTAAAATCAACCAAATCTCTTTATAAAACCTGAACAATCTATTTCTCTTTTACAATTATCTAAAGACCGGTGTCAATGCAAACACAATCACAGATCAATTTATCAGGGGTTGGAAAATACTAATTTATAATCCGGTTTGCAAATTCAGAATTAAAGAAGATAGCTCATTCGAATATTATGCAGTAGGTACAAACTAAAATGCTCAAATACCCATCTGCTTTTTGTAAAGAATTTTGTGCTATTTTTAATAATGCACATTCCCCAAATGCTATCAGAATATAAGTATAATGACTGTGTGTCAAATTGGCATATATAATAAATACAGTCACATAGCTAAAACCAGGCATCTGTACTTCAAACGGCATTGCCATGATCTATGCCCACAACGGTTACCAATTTATTCTGCCCAGGCTGCTACTTCTAGAACTCTATAGAAATGTTTGTTTAAAATAGATTTATTCATTTTATTATTGTAATGCAGAACTGCACCAATTCTGTGTATAGATGGTGCCAGTATAAGGGTTAAAGAAATTGATCATTTAAAGAAAGTAGTATTTTTTTAATCTCAGAAAGCAGCAATTCTCCATGTACAGACTGAAATTCAGAATGGCTGGTTTGATATTACAGTGAATTCTGAAAAATGGAAGAGAATTTAAAATGTCAATTTCAACCCAACGATCACACCACAGGAAAGCGAATGGTTTTGCACACTCAATGAAATGCTCTCGGGAATTGGTTTAGAGCTGTTCACGCTTCTATAATCTTGTCATTTCTAGTAGAAATAGGATTTAAATCTCTATTTTACTATTTGTCTGATATACCATTTATTGAGACAATTTTTTTTGTTTAGTTTTTGCTATATTTCCACTTAGAATTTCTAATGATTGCAATTATACATGAAATAAGCCAACAGATTAATTACCTCTGTAATCTTGGTTGTTTTCACAGTAGTAAACCTTTTATTTTGAAACTCTTGCAAATGATATTAACAAGACACTGCTCTTGGCGTATAGACTATGCAATGGGAAGATAGCTATCCCTAGACTACCTGGACGTTTAAAGAAGGGAGACGAAGGTCAGTCACTTCAAAGACAAAAAGGCATTATTTTTATTATCACAAATATACACAGTACATATTGGGGAATGTACACAAGAGACTGTGCTTGATGCCCCACTTGTTACGTGACTGCAGGGACAAAGCCAGCTCACATCATGTTTGACGGGCTTGTAGCCCCAAGTCCAAGCTTGATTGAGCTATACACAGCATCAAGGCGTACAGAATATTCGTCCTCATTTATCTACAAGACTATTATTTGTGGGTTATTCTCTAAAGCTGGAATTGTGGAGAACCAAGAAGATAAGGGGGATTCCTAAGACACAAGAGCTAAGTTGGAAGCAGTTCTGTAAACCAGCTGGTGTTCATACTTTGCAAATACTTTGTTCAAATATGTTTTTCAAAGAAACACTACCTTGAGCCCTCCAGAAATCAGTCCTTAGAATGAATAAAGTCCTGCCACCCATCACATATCAACAAATAGAATTGTGTTTTGCTGCTGCAGGTAGAACCATCTGATTGAATGCAGGCATCTCACATACTTCATGGAGATTGGGTCGATGCCTGTGTCATTTAGTCCAGAATTGGATTTATTTTGTACTTTTAGAAGATGTCATCCTTTTCAAGCTTTGCTTCAAATGGAATAAGCTTTACAGCTAAACAAGAGAAAGGCTCATAAAATATATATTGTTTTCTTCTAAATTCATATTATGGTATAATGATATATGATTAAAGCTACTGCTCCGTATAGCCTGGTGTACAAATAGAGGTTACTTTGTTACGATTGTGTGAAAATTTGGCCATTTATTGGCTGCCGTAACTCAACGCAATGCCAAATAGTAAAAGTTTATGATCAGAGCACAAACGCTCCACAGTAAACTATAGGACCCACAATACCATTTCTTATTTGATAAATGATGTCACACAAAATAAGATTGTCAAACACAACCATCCCATATATGTAGTCCACCACAAATTAAATTGCCATACACTTCTATATAATTACCCACAAACCACCCATCACACAGAGGAGAGTAAAGGAGACTGATCGCTAATGTGCTAAGGGAGGTTGGGGAAAATTTAAATTGGGAAAATTGGTTGTTTCTGGATAAAAATGATAGATGGGGACAGCAAAACAGAGGAAATGAGACTGGGGGTAACTGGGGAATGTGGACATGGGAGACAAAAAGCTGGTAAGGGAATAGACATGCAGTGTGTAACGGTGATAGAAAGACACTACAAAAAGAAACTGGAAGACAAAAAGAAAGAGAAAATCTGGAAAAGAGAGAAGATTGAGAGGATAAAGAGATAATAAAAAGAGACTGCAAGGAGACCTCGGTATATGAGGGGTGAAAAAGTGCATTTGGAAAGACAACATAGCCAGCAGTCTTGTCTTATGAAAGCTGATGTATGGGCCTCCCATGACTGGCGTTTACAAAGTCATTGCCATTTAGCTAATTTTTTCATTTAACGCAGTATCTTCTCCTAGTAGCGGTTTGAATCTAAATAGACTTGTGAAAAAATGTTTCGTCCGTAAACTAATCAATTAGTTCAAATCAAAATCCTTTTAATTCCCACTCAAATCGATTTGACTTGAAAATAACTTATTTCAGTTTGTTTAGTGTGAATTAAAAGGATTTTTATTCTGACAAATCAATTGATTTATGGAGGAAACACATTTCTGAACAGGTCTAGTTGAAACCCTGTTTCTGCCACCTGACAGCTGAAGCCTGCTGTGTGCTCGGACTGTGAATGAATCAGACCATGAATCCAGCTGTCTGACTGAGAAGCACAGCTGAAACTTGCTAAATCCATCAGTAGTTTTGCACGATTTTATTCTATCCCTCTCAGTTCCAGTACTGGCTTCCTAACGGCAGCTGTTGATATAAACGCATCCAATAATACTCAGCACACATCCAAATTCATGCTTCATTCCCGAGACTACCACAGATTCCCTATGGCTAACTTAATTTACATTCAAAGCATGAGCAATCAGCGCTCTGTAATATTCTACCCAGAAACGTTATGTTGGAACGAGTTCCACATCAACACATTCATTTCGTTTCAATAAGAAAACCCACCATTCCCCGTCTCTGATGTGGAGCATCATTACATGACCAGACAGAAGACCCCCTGAAGCGTAAATCTGTGTTTTCATTTAATTGATGCATCAAAAGTGCAACAGTAACATAGTGGGTGAAAATGGCACATGTTCTTTCAAAGACATTTTTTCCACATATTAAGGAAATCTGAACCTCGTTGAGAAGGAGGTGAATTTGCTTTTACAAACTATGTTTTTGTTTTTTTTTCAATTTAAAGAACTACATTGTGAAAATAAGGACAATAAATTTATTTTTTTGATTTGTTTTATCGCTCCAGTTCTGTAGATCTGTGCACTCTTAATGCATATTGAAGGAGATTCATCAAGGCTATTCTGGGTGCAAACTGCTAAAAACATTCTGTTGGTTCCCATGGCGATTGCTCTGCTATTTACCACATAGCACATGTATTTGCCTTTATAAAGTTCCCTTTAGTCTGCGGCAAATTGACTCAACCCAAGTATCCTATTCATGCCAATAAGCTCTATTATAGACTAAGCTTACCATATCATGGTCTGAAAATAGGTTTCATTTTGATTCATTAACCCTTTAAGAAAAAGACACAAAGTGATTTTTCCTGCAAACAGAGCAATACAATCCAAAAATAGAACTGGCAGAGTCCTATGTAAGCGGTTCATGAACACTGAAGTAGTTTCTTTCATGGAAAGGCATGAAGGAGTCTACAAAGTGGATGAATGTTGAAGACACACCGCACTCCCTCTGATGTCCACCTGACGTCTCTAAAAGGAATGTTCCCAGTTAGATACAAAATAACTATGCCAAAGCATGGAAAATAATGCACTGTAAGAACAAGGGGTGTCCCACACTCCCGCCACAAACAAGGTGCTTAGCTGGACCTGGTGCTAGACCTCAGTCAATAGTAGAAGGAACAAGATGGTCCAGTCACTCAAGTTGTGTCAATAAGGCAGCTTTATTGGAGAACAAAGAAACGTTTCAACCTCTGCTAAGGTTTTTATCCAGCTACCACCCTCAAGTGAACATCATATATTATATATAGCACATACAATAAAGAGTGTGTAATTAAACAATTAGTGCAATCAGCAATATATCAATACCATAAGTCCACACGATCACTGACCACCTCATGAGGTCAACTAGAGAGCACCAAGATCAAGTAGTAAACATTTGCATAATCAGCATATACCTTATAAAATTTAATTATATGCTGATTATGCAAATGTTTATTACTTTTGATCCTGCTCTCTATGTAGTTGGCCTCATGAGGCAGTCAATGCATGTTCGGTGATCATGTGGACTTTTGGTATCGATATATTGCTAATTGCACTAATTGTTTAGTTCTGACCTGGAGATGGGGAAGGGGTCTTTAAATCATATAAAAGCACAGATCATTCAACTGTTGCCCTTAAAGGAACATTACAAACACACACAGCTCTCCAGCTCGCTGTGAAAAGCAGGTCCCCTTTATTTCATTTTCTAAAAGTGCAGATTTCAGTAAAATTGGCATGTTTATAAATTGTCCTAGTAGTTTAGCTAATTGAAGCCAAACTCAAGAGGCAGGCAATTGAGCCAGTATAGTGCAGTACTGCTCAGTCTATGATTGGACAGTAATGGTCTCTGTGTGTATGAATGGCAGGTAACTCCCACTATTCTCATGTTCAACACTGCACTGAGATCTGGGGCCCCGCACAGTGTGAGACACATTAAGTCACAGTGCACAGTGTAACATTTATTCACAGGTAAAATAAAGGAGTTGAAAAATGATTTGCCGGTTGAAATAAAAGACACTAAATGTAAATATAAATATATGCTGCAGGTTTCTGCTGACTCACTCAATGAACTATGGGATCGTATTCTTTGCTGTCTCATCTGCAGCACAAATAAGATATTTACATTTTGGGCCAGATACAGAAGTAAACAAAATCCATCAAAAAATAATTCCAGACATCCGGGTCTGCTCCCCCGTTGGCTAGAATAATAGAGATTCTGGATAAATACACACAGCCTTTCCAGAACACTGTTACATCCTGGTTTTCTGGAAACCTTACGTCCCTGCCTCCTAAGCCTGCATTTTTATTATCCTCAATGCAAAAACGCAATGACATGAGACAAAAAAACATCGCTAAAATGATTAAACTATATAATTTGTAGGGTACTGTAGGGTAATAACTGCTTGATCCAAGGATGAATCTGACTGCCATTCTGGGGTCAAGAAGGATTTTTTTCCTAGCTTGTTGCAAAATTGGAAGTGCTTCAAGCTGGGTTTTTTTTGCCTTCTTTTGGATCAACTGCAAAAAACAAATATGAGGAAGACTGGACTTGATGGACACATGTCTCTTGTCAGCCTATGTAACTATGTAAAATGTAATAATGTAATAAAAATGTGACTTTATACGTATCTTGTTGTTCTGGAATGCAAGCTTTGGGGGGGATGAATCAGATTTTCACCAGTCTACGGATTCATCAACACCCGTTGTGGAAAAGGGATGGGAAACGGAAGAAAGGAATAAGAAAATTGAGGAAGAAAAAGGGAAAAATTGGAAAAAAGAGAGAAAGGGCATGCATTGGAGGCAGGAAATTGTATGATATATTTTTGATATTTTAACATTTTGAAAACATTATTTTAAAAGTATATCCAAAAATATTAAATAATTTGAAAAGCGTATGCAAATATACTAAATCAGAGCCTTAGTTCTGTATTAATGCTTTGTTAAAGATTACTTTATCAAGTCATTACTAAATATAAGAAAACACATTGGATAACCGTTTCAGCTGGATTTAGTATCAATTCTTGTAGCTAGAATTTCCCACATCCACCTCCAAAATGGGGATATTGCAGTGCAACCCTGCCAAGTATGAAATACAGAGGTAAGTCATTTTTGTTATTTATAGTTATATTAGAGTTATATATAAAAAATAAAAAAACTATTTTGATGCCAGTGAGAAGGTATAAAGTTATAGTTAGCCTGAATTTTTCTCTAAGACGTTAAAGATAATTAATTGTTAGGTCTGTAAAAATAGCTTTGGTTGCTATTAATGAAATTGTTTATGGAAATTGTGCTGATGACTGTAAGGGAAACCGTATTACTCAGCTCGTTTATGAATATTTTAACAAACAGGCAAATTATTTAATAAATCATCAGCATACGCCATTCAATGTGATACGTACGACTGTTCACTAAAAATGGGAACTGGATTGGAAGCCATCTTAGAAGCAGAGTGATAATAATGAACTGGGATTGGGTATTGTCAGTTTCTACCAGAGCTCACAGTTTGCGTAAAATAATAATATATGTGATAATATACACTATCTACATGCAATGTGAAGGGTGATACAATAGCTCATGTTAATAAGAAACACTGAGGAGTTTTAAATAATACTTTCATATTTATAAGGAGATGTTATGAATATAACTATTATTAGAGTGTAAAATCAGGGAGTATAAAACACTATTTGTCTCTAATTGTAAGTTCATTACGTGTGAAATAAATTACATTTTATTAGCTGGATTACCTGTGTCATTTACTCCCAATAGAGACTGGTTACACGTCGTTAAAAGAGGAATATTAACTAGAGAAATTCTACTAAAAAGCCAGAAGTGATGTGAGAGAATATAATAAATAGGGGACAATAAACACATAGTGTATGAAGAGAGGTACACAATCAGTGAGTAAAACTGGAATACAAATAACATGGAATGGCTTGAATGGGGATATCAAATAAGCAATTGCAGTCCCATGAATAAAACACAGTTATTATCCCTCTTTTTACTTGCATATTGGCTTTTTAGTGGGGGCCTTTGTGTTTTAATATTCTATTTCCATTGGTTTCTTTTATGTTTTGAGGATTTTTAATAGATATTCTATTATATGTTCCCATATTCTTATCATGGTTACATGTTGTGTCTTTAGAGGGCGGCTGGCAATATTCTGCAATTAGTGAGAATTAGGCGGATACTTACGGTCTGGGTAAGGGCGAGGGCAGCATCACTATGTGCCATACATTTAGGGTTAAACTTACAAACTATAGGATTCAAGGAAGACAGCGTTACACATAGTGTTAGAATTCGGTTTACGGTTAGAATAAAATTTGGGGTTAAGATAAAGCAACAACTGACCCTAACCGTAACCCTAACTCAAAATGTAATAACTATTAAACCTGTAAACTTGCCCCAGACACAACCCAGACTGCACAAATCCCTGTGAATATTTCGAATAAGTTGCATCAAGTTTGTTCCCCCAAGTTGCTCTCTGGGGCGAAGTCCTCCCTGAAGCCAGTAGTGGCGTGGCCTTAATTGTGGCTGCTCTATGAATTGTAAATACCCCAGGCACTGCGCGGGACTAGGAGTTGAATACATGACTTGGTTGGCTTTACGCACACCTTCCAGATTGTATGCCTGAAATGACACATCCATCTAAAGAGTTTATGGATTTAATAAATTGTGTGTATCCGTGCACGGCAATATAACAGAAATTATCTGGTACTATTTATCAAGTGGATCTGTTTACAGTAGGAATGCCGGTGAGTTATTGCTCTAAAGAACCATTATTTCATGCTTTGAAGTTTAATTTACTTTTGTCATGCAATGAATAATTTTGAGTATTAGGAGTTACTGTGGTATATGCAGATGAAACGATCAACCGTTTGCTCCACTGTATTAATGCACAATACGTGGCTCCAAGACCTAACATTCGGTTAGTTATCTCTGACCTCTGGCTCTTTATTGACTGCCGGCTGTGGACTGATGACTGTAGAACAATCTGATGGTAAGTGGCCAATCTTGGTTTACACACGCTACTCTATTCCACGTGTTACTGGACACAGACTACTAACATCCGAACACAAATAAACTAAGCATTAAGTTAAACAGCAGCTGAATGTGGTTTATGTACTTTCACTCAGATTCTCCGTAAGTTGTTCTCATGGGAGCTCCCACTACAGCCCAAAACATACCTGGGACTAGGTTACGATTAAATTTTGGTAATAATCGATAACTCATAAGAGCACCTGTTGTGGATATATTAACCGTTTCACTTCACAAAGTCTTTCCAGTGTGCATATTCTGTCTATTTAAAAATCCCATATCTTGTATGATAATTTTTTTTATGGACAGAATTAGAAATATATATATATATATATATATATATATATATATATATATATACTTATAATAGTCAATACGGAATACTGCGGGGACAGCAAAAAAAATTAAATAAAATAAAACATTATCACATCCTTCTGAATATATCTCGATCTCAGCATATGTTTTGTGCAGTTTCTCTGCTCCGATTATTGAGTATTTAATTTTGCATTCATTGCTAATTATCCTAGCTATTCATTCCCCCAAAACAGTCAGACAGCATTTTTCAATGCATTCAGCAGTCTAGAGACCACCAGAACGGGGACAGAAACCTAATTTATGGTAATTTATGAAATTCTCCTTTGGTTATAAATATACGGTAATGAAAACTACTTGTATGGAGATAATGGCCACGTTTGATATATATATATATTTATAATGGCAATAAAAATCCTGATGAAAGCCCATGTATGGGGGCTGAAACGTCGATATTTTTAATGATATGAATTAAAAGTTATTTTTTACTTTAACTGTATGAAGGCCTTGGAGTGCGGTCATTTTCCCTTTTGTTCTATATTTTGTGCCTGACCAGCACCGGGCATTTATATTCTCAATCATGGAGTGCAAGCATTTTGTATATTTTGTGTGTATATATATATATATATATATATATATATATAAAGAGAGAGAGAGAGAGAGAGAGAGACAGACAGACATCTGCCGCAAATATACACATGGGGATGGAGAGATGATGGCAATGCATCTGTCACCTGTATATACAATGAATTGGGCATGATGGTATACTCCTATCTTCATTGCATATACAAAAATGTGTACTTTTACTTTTTTAATCTTTATCGTAAGGAATCAAGTTACTAGAAAAGTTAGATAAAGTGTATCAAAACAACTGAAAACCCCTTACATACAATGAATAATCACAATAGGGAAGGTGACATTTTTAATTAACAATTGCGTAGTTGAAGTTTTAAGATAAGGTAACATTTGTAGCTGCACGTACACAAGTTTGATACAGGTTTATAAATCTCAGTCTCCCATGTACAAAGATCCAAATAAACAAACTGGTCCAGTAATTATAGACTCCCAGCTCACAGAAAAGTATCCCATGCACAGAGGTGATAGAAAACTGCGTATTATGGCCAAACCATTTACATGTAAAAATGAGGTATTGCTTGCATCTGCCACGTGTGCCCCCATGGGGAAGGAGATGACCATATATATCACTTGTATATTAATTTATGGTAATAACAATCAATATATAAAATATCCTATATCCTATAAAATAGAGAGCTCAATTTAAAATTCTGGTTCTTGCTTTCAAATCTCTACATAATGCTGCTCCCACATTACTATCCTCCCTTATACACAAGTATGTCCCGTCTAGGCCCTTACGATCTGCTGAAGACTTACGTCTATCTTCAGTCCGTACTCCCACCTCTGATGCTCGCCTTCAAGATTTCTCGAGGGCTGCACCGTTCCTGTGGAACTCACTTCCCTCCTCCGTTAGATGCTCACCCAGTCTCCACTCCTTCAAAAAATCGTTAAAAACCCACTTCTGCATAAAAGCGTATCAATTAAACTGTTAATAGCTCCCGACAGATTCCTCTCCTGCAACTGTCACTAGTCTAATACTATCCTTACCTTTTTGTGTCATTTTACCCCACTCCCTCTATGTCAGGATTACTGTTTGATCTAGCACGTAGAACTGTACAGCACGGATGACAAATAAGTAACGTATTACCGGTCCTTAGAATGGCCGGATTTAACGTACAAAGAATAGTCAAAAATACTAGCCGAGGTCAGGAAACAGAAAGGGACACAGCGATGAGGAAAGCCAGGAGTCAGGATACCAGAATATAGAGAAGTCAATAAACAAAGCCAAAGTCAAAAACCAGGTAGAAAACTATAAACAGGAACGCGCTCTCAGACAACCACAAGGGAAAACACGACAGGGCACTGAGCAGGCTGAGAACTGGGCCCAAATACCCCTCCTTTAGTTCTGATAGGCTGTAACCGGCCTTTGACCCCCAAAGTCAGTTACCAGGTTTCATTTGCATAATTGCTGCTCAGCATTAACCCTTCTGTGGATTAGGTTGCTGCTCGGCACAACTTTTCCTGTGTGGACAGTAAATGTCATTAACCACTTTTCTATAAGCGGATGAATACATGAGACCAGGTTTCATTTTCACAATTACTGCTCAGCATTAAACCTTCTGTGGATTAGGTTGCTGCTCGGCACAACTTTTCCTGTGTGGACAGTAAATGTCATTAACCACATTTCTATAAGCCGATGAATACGTGACATTACCCCCACTGGAAGAACGTTTCCACCGGCGATACAATAAGGGACCAGGCTTCGAGAGGAATGAAGGAAAAGCGCTGATCTTACGGCCCCGCGATGCAGGTCAGTCGAAACCCAAGAACCCATCAGCAGGACCGTAACCCTTCCAAACAACCAAGTACCGTAAAGTGCCCTCTAGAAAACCCAGGAATCCACGATAGAAGATACCATATTCTTCCCTGACCACCCACCACCAACAATCGGAGGGAGGAACACAAGGAACAGTATATTCATTGCAGACAAGAGGTTTGGGACAGAAAAGTGTTGGGGAACTTAAAGATGCAGGGAAGAGCCAGAGAGTAAGACACTGGATTGATCCTACCAAGCACCTATAGGACCAAGGAATTCTGGGGGGCAAACTCTTCATGCTAGGGACCTTAAGCTTGATGTTGCGAGATGACAACCAAACCCTGTCCCCCACTTGGTACACCGGGTTGGCACTCCTACGCTTATCAGCAAAATGTTTGAAGCGTTCAGCAGCAGCCCCTAGAGCAGTTTGAACCTTAATCCAGGTATCCCGAATGGAGGCCAGACGCTCATCCAGAGCAGGAATGGCAGTATCAGAAAATACCGCAGGGAGAACCGTAGGATGCCTACCATTATTGACAAAAAATGGACTGTGCCCAGAGGAGTCATGAGCAGCATTGTTTCTAGCGAACTCGGCCCACGGGAGTAGTTCGGACCAATTGTCTTGTGTGCTATTAATAAAACAACGCAAATAAACTTCTAATGACTGGTTAACCCTCTCAGCTGTACCATTGGTCTGTGGATGGTAGGAGGAGAAGGAGAGATCAATCCCCAATTGTTTACTGAACGCCCTCCAGAACCTGGACACAAACTGAGAGCCCCTATCGGACACAATATTGTGGGGGATGCCATGCAAACGGACAATTTCACGTATGAAAATTAGGACCAAATCTTGCGAAGATGGCAACTTCTTGAGAGGAATGAAGTGAAAAAAATCGGTCTTAGAAAATCGGTCTACAACCATGAGAATAGTAGTGAACCCAGCAGAGCTAGGAAGCTCTACAATAAAGTCCATGGATAAGTGGGACCATGGAATCTCAGGAACAGGAAGAGGCTGCAACAGGCCACAAGGAAGTGCATGAGTCACCTTAAAAACTGCACACACAGAACATGCCTGCACATACTCCTTTACATCTTTCCTGAGTGAATCCCACCAAAATGATCTAGTGATCGCGGCAGTGGACTTATTGATGCCCGGGTGTCCAGCAGTTATATTGTCATGGAACACTTTCATGATATTCACATAGGGGAACGAACAGTTTATCACACGGTTTACCACTGGGCGCCTGAGGCTGGGCCTCCAGTATGGTGCCAAGCAGTGGAGAAGACAGTGAGAGGACAGTAGTGGCAATAATACACTCTGGTGGAATAATAGGAGATATCACCTGTTCCGGAGCTGACTCATTATCAAATTGCCTGGACAAGGCATCAGCCTTG